TTTGCGGCCTGCCAGTAAACCCAAAGCAGAAGAAGACGAGGGAATTTATTCCGGTGTGAACGCGATCTGTACTAAATGCCCTGGGGTAATAAGTGCCGGGGCACTAAGTGCCGGCACTAAATACAGCAAAGTACTTTGTGTGAACGCGCCTATTGTTTCAGAAATAATCCTTGATGTGGTTTTGAACATGACGTTTAATTACGCCAGCATTTAGCTGGGAATCTGCAGGCAGAGAGGAGACCTCACTGCTTGCCTTGCCGTGCTCAAAAGGGGGCGGGGCCAGCAGCTACAGACCCAGAATCAGCACTTCTCTAACCAGGCTGAAACAGAGGGATATGAGGGATGTCTAAAATGCATGATCTGTTTGGTATTTTGAGCAAAACACATCATAGACATGTTTTTTAATATATTTTTGAGACCCATAATATATGCCTAAAAATAGCATGATAGGAGATCTTTAAATTTAACTGCAATACTTAAAACTTAAAGCTCCTAAAATTAAACTTAAAACACTCAAACCTAAAGCGTAGCTTATTAGAGCGTGACTTAGTGCTTAGCTCTTTTTGCTGGTGCATGTGGGCTTTGGCTCACCCGAAACATCCATGTTGTAGAGCGGAGGACTCCAGCCCCGCAGGACACAGACAGACCGTCTTCATCAACTGTCTCTGTGTCCATCGGACGGTCCAGTTGCTCCCACAGCTTTTGCTTAATAGGACGACCTAGAACCAAACTTTATGGAAGCAGGTGACCGTTCTGGAACATTTGAGGAGCGAAGAAGCACTAAATACATCTTTACGTTGAAGGAAAATAGAGAGATAGATTTCTAAGAGATTGCAAAGTCTGCAAATGAACTGACTAATTTGTGCCATAACGAACCTCAGCATGGCCTCCACAGCTCTATGGTAGATGGGCTGGAAGTCCTCTACTGAGCGGATCCTTTGAGGATCCTCAAGGTGCATGGGAGCAGTGGAGGTCTGGGGGCTGGGGGCCACGTTAGAGACAGGTGGCAGGTCAGCAGTTTTAGAAGGACGAGCCACGGAGGTCTGCTTCCTTTTCTGGGGAAGGTGTGCAGAAGCAGCAGGGAGACGGCGCTTTGTATTGGGCAGGTGGAGAAGGTCAGAAAAACACGAGAGGATGTCAGACTAGGAAACATCTTACTTAACAACATACCTTTATAATTTTACAAGAGGAAACATTTACATCAGATGCACTGCAGAGGAACACTTTGTCAAAATGAAAGACCATTTACATTTGACTGGACATTAAACATTCACAGAGTGAAGCAAAGTAAATCAGTAATATGTGATGGAGCTTGATAAGAAGTTACTGAAAGGTGACTCAAGTAAGCAGTGCATTAGTCCTGTAGAGTGACCTTGTATAGACCCAAAACATTTAGTATTGACAATATAAAATAAAAAACATAAATGAAGGAATATGAAACATGTAATCAAAGTCTGAAACCTCCTCAAGACGAGACAGGTTAGGTAACAAAGCCAGACCCGCCTCATGTCAGTTAATATTGTGCTTTAGTGACACATATTTACTATATACTATATACATTTTGCATATGTCTGTTTATTGTATGAAAATATAAAATGTTCTGGAAATAACGCTAAGTTAATCAAAGTCTCTAATTAGCTACATTCAAATTCAAAATATTAATGTATTTCAGCTTGGAGCGAGGCGAAATAGCCTACAAGGGATATAAATGATTTGCATTAGATATATAAAACAAGTATTTGTTAATATTATCACATGTGGCCGTAGTAGCAGTAGTTTTAATCAATGCATGAGTATTTTTGGTATTTTTTTAATGCCTAGATTAATCTATTGAGTCGTTACAGCAGCAAACTTGACCTTAATCTGATGCATACAGTGTTGACTGGTGATAGAGGAGCCTGAATGATTTGATACTGTAAGCATCAGTGAACTATGAGGTTTCTCAAAGTGTCCACGGTGCATTACATTGGAAACAACAGGGCCTTTCACAGTCATGAAATCTTACATTTTCCATGACCTAAGTCGCTTTTCTCGCTTTAATAACTCTCTGGGACTCTTTAGCTCTTGTCAGGATGTAAAATGACTTGAGTAGAAGCGATCATTTGGAAGGAATCGCAGAGTGAAAGATGACAAAATACTTTTCTTGACCGTGCTCAGGTTGTTTCTGTTTAAATGATGATCCCATATTAATGCTGCTCCTGCGTAAAACCACAGCAACCATGGAATCCTCTACGTCCATCTTGTGAACCCCGTCACGTTTCACCTCTCATATAAAGTTTATGCTATCAGCCTGAGATAAAGTTAATATCAATATGAATCTGTAGACATAACTAAACTGGAGATGTTTTGCATGCAGTGTTCAGTTTGCTAGCTTAGAGACAAATCACAATATGTACATCATAAACATATAGGCGCACCAATCTAGTGATATAAATGTTTTATCCTTATCTTCAACCTGAAAACAACAGGCTACTTGATGGGAACAAATTATGAAAGCACTGTGTTCTGTGACATACTTTACCCTCAGTGAAGTGTTGAAGCTGAACCACTTCCAAACAATGTTTTCCCCAGGAACATGTTTCAACTGGCAGTATTTGTAACACCACATGTCATTCCTCCTCCATCACACACAACACATGTCATTCCTCCTCCATCACACACAACACATGTCATCCCTCCTCCATCACACACAACACATGTCACCCCTCCTCCATCACACACAACACATGTCATCCCTCCTCCATCACACACAACACATGTCACCTCTCCTCCATCACACACAACACATGTCATCCCTCCTCCATCACACACAACACATGTCATCCCTCCTCAATCACACACAACACATGTCACCCCTCCTCCATCACACACAACACATGTCACCCCTCCTCCATCACACACAACACATGTCATCCCTCCTCCATCACACACAACACATGTCATCCCTCCTCCATCACACACAACACATGTCATCCCTCCTCCATCACACACAACACATGTCATCCCTCCTCAATCACACACAACAGATGTCATCCCTCCTCCATCACACACAACACATGTCATCCCTCCTCAATCACACACAACACATGTCATCCCTCCTCAATCACACACAACACATGTCATCCCTCCTCAATCACACACAACACATGTCATTCCTCCTCAATCACACACAACTCATGTCATTCCTCCTCCATCACACACAAACATATGCAATAAAGCAGGAAACAGTGTGTCCAGAGGGTGGCGCTAGAGGACAGTCTGAGTCCCTACACAGATCAAGGGTTATCCTCTGTATAGTGTTACGGCTGTATGTATTCCCTGTTTCTTTTTCCTTTTGGTTCCTCTACCCAGGTGTGCTGCATTGCTGCAACGAGGTTCAGACGAGGTGCACCTGGAGAAAGAAGAGCTTAAAAGCTCCATTGCAGCAGCAGAAGAGGGAGGCCTCTGGTGTGGGGACTGCTGGGTTTCTGCCTCTCATCCTAGGATGCATAGTTGAACATTTGAAATGTTGATAAGAATAAATCCTATGGATTTGATGATTTTAAAGGTGTCTTTTGTGTTCTATTTGGGTCCGTGGTGGAATTTTGTTAGCCCCATAGGGCCATTTTAAGGGTGGGGCGTAACAATAGGGAGTCAAAAGACACATACTGGCCGTTTCTCAATCGCGAGGATATTGGCTTCCAAGCCAATATTTCAAGGATGCTACGTCATCGAGTGCCGCCGAAGGACTGTTCCAATCTCCAGCAAACTTGGAATTCCACCGAGGCCGCGTCCTTGGTTTGGGGGAAATTTCGAGGCTGCACATGGGTAGACTTCGCGTCCTTAAAATCCCCACAATGCTTTGCGCATGGACCAATTTCCCCAAATCTGTGGCGGAAGATGTAAGGCGGGGCCTCTCATATGACGCACACCTGCACACTTGCTAGCCTGTTCCACTCTTCGTTTTCCGAATAGCAGGAAGTATTCTTGCCTTGCTTCTGAAGCAAGATGCTCGGCTCGGCTGTGCTACCAAGCCAGCGTCCTCGCGATTGAGAAACGGCCACAGTCACTGGAGTGTCAGTTTGCAACATTTCAGATATTACATTATCTAGTTCACAATGAAAAGAGGGAAATGTTGTACCCTTGCTGTACTCATTTTTATTTAATGATTTACTTTTTATACAAATACATTTTTAATGGTATATATTATCTACTAATGTACTCAAAACCTTCCAAAATGTGCTCCAAATTGACGAAATACAACATTACAAATCTATTTTATGTATATATCACAAAAACAGAATAATATATTATTTTATAAGAGAACAACATTTTAATACAAGAGGCATTCTGCACAATGACTACTTTTACTTTTCATACTTCAGTAAATGTAGCTGATAATACTTCTGTTCTTTTTTAAATGATTAGTTCTTATCATGTGAATATAAATAAATAAATAATTATATATATATATATATATATATATATATATATATATATTAAACACTTTGTCAGGAAATACTCTGATCTACGCATACTTACTGTGAGATGTTTAATTAAAGTTAGTATAGAGAGAGATTAAAATCTTGACTGACAGACTTTTTCATTGGCCAATAAGAAATTAGGAAACTAAAAACCCTTTATAACGGCTTACTAACAATTCTAACAGACGTAATGACTTATTAGAAAGTGAGAGACACAGGATCAGATGGTTGCAGACATTAATCAATTGAGTCGTTACAGAAGTATACCTGACCGCCTTATCTCTGTAACGACTCAATTGATTAAACAAAGACTTAAGTTATAGTGTTTAATGTTATTTATTGTAGAGTAGCCTAAATGATTTGATAATTGCGCGGTCTGGTTGGAATGGTCACTGTCTGCAGAGCGTGCGCGTTTTCTTTTAAAAGTGGTTTCTTGGTAACTGACTGATGCTACTAGCTGCACCATTATTCAGTACAAGGCCAGCTCTGGACCCTGTCAGTTACCTCGGTATCTCAGTCACTACCAACCTCTCAGATATGTCTTTCATCGGGAAGCTGTTGAGTGGAGGAGAGAAGCTGACGAAGCCCTGCCGGCCGGAGGAGACGGAGCCTCTGCCGGACCGAGAGGAGCTGCTGGGGAAGAAAAGGGAGTTTCTGAAGAAGAAGATTGACCAGGAGTTTCTGTTTGCCAAGACCAACAGTAGGAAGAACAGAAGAGGTATCTTAAAATGTGTTGTATATTCTTTGTATATCATTTAATAAACTTTAAACCTAGTCAAGAGAGGTATTGTCAGTTTTTTTCAACATGTAGCTTCAATTATTAAGCTAGCACTCAAGCTAACGTTAACTCTTGCTAACAGAACAAGCTAAGCTAAGTTATTGTTCACAGATGTGTTACATTTTTTTTGGCTATTCAATGTAGCTTACATAAAGAGTTATTCAAATAAAATCACATTATTACATGAATGCAAGACATTTTGACATACACACTGTGGTAAAAAGCACATGGTGAACCATAATTTAACAATTGAGAAACTGTTAATGGGTTTAAAAAAACGACATCAAAGAAATAATCAGCATTTGTTAAATAACATAAGAGTATTGTCATTTAAAAAATGTTTTACGCATACCTAAATGGAACGTGTGAACCTTTAAATCAATGTACTCTAACACACTGATGGAAAAAAGACAAAAGATTTCCAATGGTCAGAAATAAAAGGAAAGTGCTCCATGATTTACATCATTGTGCAAAAAGGTCCAGTACAACAAGAGGGAGATACCACAGTGTAGATAATATGGAAAAAGTCTGACCATGACACAGTTAACTTTACTGTGTTTGTATCTCATCATATCACCCAACATTGAACATGAATTCTATTCCATTTAAATGCACCCGTTCAAGAACTCTGTTATCATGCAAGTGTATCTGTACTTGAGAAAATAATTTGCTCAGCTATCCTTCAAGAAACAGGAGGTCCTGTTTGTGTTTCGACACCTGATAGAAACTATATACATTATATACGTTTTTCGTTTTGCATGTTGAGAACATTCCTGCTCATTTACTGTATCTCTCCATGCGTTCCTTACAGGAGCTCTGCAGGCGCTGAAGAGAAAGAGGTGGTACGAGAAACATCTCAAGAACATCGACTGTGCTGTGAAGGCCATGAGGTCTGCTCATGAACACATGTAAGGCACCAGCACAGCAGCTCATCAGAGTTAAGAAGATCATCATTATGTAATCAGGATTGAATAGCAGGATTAGGTACAATGTTCAAATACATTTTAAAATCAAGAACACTATATAACAGCGAGCGATATTGCCTGAATTTTCTCTTTGGTTTCATTTAGACTAATTTTATTTTTCTAGATTTCAAAAAATTGGGGATTAACAGCAGGATTACAATGTTACAAAAAATGTAGGATATGTATGAATATAAATGTCATTATAGAATAAAAACATTGTTAAGAAGACCTTAAGTAGAAAAAGAAGGAGAACTCGCTAAAAATGTCAGCCTGTGGAGACAGGTTAAAATGTTGAATAATTCAAAGTGAAGTGAATGAACTGTATGTGGATGTTTTTATGACATACCATGAGATTGCATCCGTCTAACAGCAAATATATCATCCTCTTTTTCTTTCAAGCCTAATACAAAGTTAACGATAGAGTGCTGGCTTTTTTAGGGAGATTGTCAACAAGCTGAATGACGTGATGAAGGAAATCACAGAGGAGCACGATCTGACCCAGGACATGACCGAAACCCTCCTCAGTTCTGCCTGCTTTGAAGTGGAATTTGATGAGGTATCCTTTAGTTATTTCATTTTAGTGGGACTGAAGTTAAAACAAGTATTCTTTTATTTAACTGAGCCTATGTGTGTGTCTCCCTCAGGAAGAGCTGCTGGCAGAGCTGCAGAGGCTGGAGAACAGTTTGGATGAGAGTGTCTTTAATAAGGACGCAGCGGAGAGGAGGCTGCCATCCTCTGCATCACCTTCTCAACCTGGTAAAAACATCAATCACAATACACTTTTAGCTTAGATGGTAAAACAGGACGTGTCACACCACAGATCCAACGTGTTTTTTTCTCCCCAAAGCCATGACAGAGGAAGAAGACATTGAAGGAGATTTAGAGCGTCTGAGGTGCTGGGCGAGTGCTCCCTCATAGACACATCGGCCAAAAACACAGGCTGTAGGAGGAAAGGATGGAATAAATAAGCAGAAATGAAAGGATTGTTATGAGAGTTTTGTGAGAGCATTACATGTAAGGCGTAGGCTATTACAAACAATCTAAATCATTTATATTGTAGTGCTATGAGTTCTGTGATAGAGTTTTATAATACAATACTATACATAGTGGACTCGTCCTGTTAATTTGTGGGCCATGGGACATTTGTGACTTCCCTCCAAGTTATAATTTTGGTCCAATCCGTATGGAAATATCCACAGATATAATGTGCAGGTTACTATCCACACCAGAAGGGGGCGGTACATGACCACACACAGGCCGTTTTCACAATGACGTATGGGAACTATAGAGAGTGTGTGTGAAACTGCTCAATGAACTACATCTCTGGTCTCGCACAACAACACACATCACCAAGATGGCCGTCTTGCCAAAAAATCACTATCACCACAATGAAACACGTCCAGAAGAATGTCATGCAAAGCTCCCTGCCTGCCTGCCTTCCTTCGATTCTCCCTGAACGGCCTGATCTTTTTAATGTTCAATGTTAACCATTTGTGCAGATGGCATGAAGTAGAAAAAGATCGCCGATGCTAATGTAGCGTTAGCGTTAGCATGTCTCCCCCGGGGGCATCCGGGCTCAAACGGTGTATTATAGAATGATCACACCGGTGTGACAGTACTCTTCAAAGGGTTCACGAAATATGACTACACTTACTTACTTCATGTTAAGGCTAATACAAATGACAAGGCTAAGGCTGTAATGCTAACTAACGTGCTCACTTACGCGACTCTGGGATTTGTAGTCTTTCTAGTTGCGTATTTTGCATAGTCTTATATTTCAACAGTTTTACGACAAACTGTGACTTTTTTGACATGGAAATTATTTTTTAAGATTGACAAACATCATATGTGTAATTCATGGCACAATTCAAACGGGATCGAAAGATACGTTTTCTCTTCCCCGTACTTTTCGCGTTTAGTTCCGTTAGTACACCTTATGTCGCGTTCACACCAAAAAGAGTACTGAGTGCCTGGAACTTTTACCCCCATTTTTAGTGCCTGCTGAGAGATGGTACTTTCCTGGGGGAAAAAAGTGCCCCAGTTCTGATTGGCTGGGCGAATTGCAAACCACGCCCTGTACAACTCTGAAATGTTTTGTAGAGCCGCCATTTTATTATCCTCGCATTAGCATTATTAGCATTAGCATTCGCCCAGCGCACAAACGCAGAGAGACTACAGTAACTTATGGCAACACAAAAGAAAACATGGGAGCGGTGGAGATGAGGAGGTGTCGGCGTTCTGGCGATTTACTCGGAAGGCTTCAGTAGAAGCTGCTGGGAGTCCCAGCAGCTTCTACTGAAGCCAGTCCCCAACTCCGGGGACTTCCGGCCGGGGACTTCCGGCCGGGGACTCCGGGTGGCAGTATACGCCGTGAAGTTGTTTGCGGCCTGCCAGTAAACCCAAAGCAGAAGAAGACGAAGTGACGTCAGCGGCTCGTTTGCGTAATCTTCCCTCAGGGAACTTATTCCGGTGTGAACGCGATCTGTACTAAGTGCCCTGGGGTAATAAGTGCCGGGGCACTAAGTGCCAGCACTAAGTAGGGCAAAGTACTTGGTGTGAACGCGGCTATTGACTTCAATACATAATTTTTCCGAAATAAGGTCCCATGGGTCAGAAGTAGATGGGTGGGACTTCGCCTCTCTATTGACTTTTTTGCAAAGCAGCTCATCTTCAAATGCCATATGCAATAGTTGAAGTTGAAAAAGGAGCAATTAAATAGGGATTAAAAGTATCTGTAGCAAAAACACATGTAATCGGTTTCTCTTAAAGGCTTAAAGTCACACAAAGCTCCCTAAAGTTGTAGGAGCAACCTCTTGAGCAAAAAAGCTATTAGAGTTCTTGGGGTTTGGACTGAAGAGAAAACTCCATCTAAAGAGAGCAGACAACGATAAACACATACTTTAACAATTGCATCATAACAGTAGATGCAGTAAAGGACATCGCTGATTTTCTCAGATCATGAGAACGGAGCTGCCGTTAACCTGTGGCTGAGGCTGTTAACTGACTCCAGGGCCATTTGCTCAGCACCTGGATGTAGGCCAGGGGTGTCCAAAAATGTTTCACTGAGGGCCACATACAAAAAAATGTACGATGGGCTGGGCCCCTCACTAGAGGTGAGGTATATTGGTTCATAAGTTAGGTTCATAAGTTAGTTTATAAGGTAGCAAACTAAAGCAAATGTAGCTAATTTATGCTTGATACTTGAATATGCTCTAAGGAAAAAAACAGCCTACATCATTGCTCTCCAGAGGGTTTCATTCATTTTGTTAGAAAAAGTGTTCAGCTCATCGCTTATAACAGAAGCCTCAGATTGTTATAATAAGGGGAAATAGGAAGGGTATATTTCAAGCAAATATAGTTATTGGGTTTTTTTTTTTAACAACTAAGACTAACAACTTGTTAGAAAATGTTTTCAACTTTAATTGACAGAATTTATTTGAAAAGTGGACTTATTAACACATGAATACTACTGTGTAATATCTGTTTACTATACACATATATTTAAGAAGTACAATATAAGGTAAGTACAAGTTTCATGTGTGGGCCTTAGATGGCCCCCGGGCTGTAGTTTGGACACCCCTGATGTAGGCAGTTAGAAGCTGGGCGAATCTCTCCACCACCTTAAATCACCTTAAGGAACTTATCAAGGTAATACTGTGTAGGCGTAGGTTGTGACCCATTAAACAGAGAGCTGGTGCCAACACAGCCTGGTTTTATCAGCAGGATATCACACCTCAGGCAGCACTGTACCACTGTTATCACACCTTTAGCAGGGCTTTGACTTGATTAAGGGCATAACATTGTCATTGCAGCTCTTCCCTCATGATGTGTAGACAGAAGCTGTGGTACTATAAACACTCACTCCAAAAGCAGAATGAGCACTAGCTCTAGTCCTTACCATTTACACTTGTGATGCATCATGGCATCATGTAATTCACATTCAAACACTGTTTGTTAGATAGATGTTATACTTAAATCAGTCCCAGTATGGGAATCTTAGAGACATTAAAGCAAGCCTTGAGCTCCTGTTTTCCCCGGCCTTTTTAAATCATATTTTTGCATAGTCTTTGGGAAATATTAGATTTTGCTGCCTCCATCTAGAATGTTTATCCATAAATCTCCAAATGTTGCATGCAGCATCAACACTCAAGACTTATATGCATTTTTTTCAGTTTTTATATGTAGCATGTATTCAACAAATAAATTGTAAATGGTAAATCTAAGTTAAAAGTTTGAGAAATGTAAAATATGTAATGATTTTATCGTTTGCATATTAAAGGAAATAAGCAAATTGGTAAAACTATAATAATAAAATAATTCTCTTGACTCTAAACCTCTTTACCTTGCCAATATACATTATTTATTTTAGTCACAAATTAAATAGAAAATACCATGAACAAGGTCACAAGTTTGTTGGTTTAATTTTCATGTTTCCAATAATTCATACATACTATGCATACAAAATATGAAACCACATCAATTAAGAAGCTGTAGCGATAGGTTCAAGGTTTAATCCTGTATCACGTCTGTACTTAAATACAGGACAGGTCGCACTTTATTTTCTGGAGGTTCCAACAAGTTATCATTTTCACCTAAAATTAATTAATTAATTAATTAATTAATTAATTAAGATAATATTAATTTCAACAAACCCTCAAATTATTGAGTTTTTTCTAATATAGATTATTATAGTTTTTCTGTCAATACTGATACATTTAATATTTTTGGAACGCCTTTAATCTAATTACAATTTATTGTATATTTAGAGTATATATGCTACTGTAGCTCAAAGACAAATGGTTGAATCGAACAAAAGTATATCTAACAAATAAAAACATATTAAATAATATTAAAAAAAAACATTATACAATAATAGATACAAATATATTCATGAGAATTCATAGTAAACTCCTGGAATTGTATGCATTTATGTCCTATGCCATATGTTATATCATATGGTGACCCCTGAACTTCCATCTAGAAGCAACATGTACAGTCATTACATTTCTCATAGCAAGGAAAAAATAGTTTATACCAGTTGGAAAAATAATCTCATTTTCTTTAACCAGGAAATGCTTTTGTGTATTAGTCCGTCAAAAATGCAGTTAGAACATTTATTTTAATACAAATAATACCATAAGTTAATAATGTAAAAATATTCACTGACATAAATTAGCTCTACAGACTTTAGAAATTGTGTGTGCAGACATGAGCGAAACTGTGCAAAGGGTCAAAGTGTTACCTCTAGTGACCCTTTAAATCCAGTATCTCTGCCTGCTTTGAGCGAGCACTCAGGATTAATTAGTCTGTAAACCAGACAGAGCTGGTGACGCTCACAGCAGGGGGGGGGAGAGGCAGGGATGGCGTAGACACCAAGAGAAGATTGTCGAAGGTGTAGCCTCCGACATCGCACAGGCAACTCTGAATGTGCTGGGGAAAGGACATGTAAGGAGTGTAGGACAGTGGACTGAAGCCTGATGGGGTCTGGGACCAGCCAGCAGGAAGAGTCAGGTACGACTAACACACAGTACACACACAGCAGAACATTCTGAGAAAGGATAACAATGTTTTAAAAGGAATTAACATCCATACATTTGAATTTACCTATAATATTATTTTTGTCATTAAGTGCAGGGGACACACACAGGTGCATTTTGCAAGATTTATGTGTATAATGACCTAACACCTTGATAACTTGCGTATTTCTTTCTTCTACTAGCCATAGAGTAAATCAATTCATTATGATAGTTTGTACTATGTCTCAACACTCTCATCTACCAAGGTATAATGTGTTCAGCTGTGTCTGGTGTGGTTGAATATATCAAGATAGCAAGTAGTTGTTAGTTGTTGATCAATATATGCAGGCTTGGAGAGTAACAAATAACATGTAATGGGATTAGGTAATCAGGATACAAAAAATTGGTAACCTTATTCGCTTAAAGTTAGATAAAAAAAGTATAAGATTACTGTAACATTTAAAAAAAAGTGCCTGAATACGCTTAATGAAAGGCAGTTTTCCTACTGTATAGATAAATACTCCTAGCAGAGAACACAGTTTTGGAAACTAATCCTGGTTTCTTTTTTCTATGGTTTCATTGTTCTGTTGTCCTACATAAAACACTTAAAGAGGCCCTTTAATTATTTTAGGCGTTTTCCCTGTCTTGTAGTTTGCCATATAGGTTTTTGTGCATGTAAATGGTCTGCAAAGGCAAAAATCCTTGTGTTTGCACATTATTATTTCTTCCTGTTTTATTTATTTGCATTGCATTTGATATTGAGGTAATCAAAAAAGTAATGGGAAGTAATCGGCTTATATAACGTATGTTGTGATACTTGGATAAGTTAACTGATTCAAAAATGTTTTAAAGGTAACTAGTAATTCTAACGGAATACATTTTGTAAGGGTTCAAGTTCTTTTTATCATCATTTGCATAACAGTTACAGCGATCAGTCGTGGGAAATGACTGTTGTATTTCAGGCTTGCTGCAACAGTGGATTGAACTGAATGTGAACAGAAAGAGAGCAGTAATAAATATATAGTATTTTGTGATTCTTTCACCTGATACCTCTGATTCCACACCCAGTTACAGAGAGCCCCCCCACATCACAGTCCAACACTGAGTCAGAATCAGCTGACTCCTCTCCTCGTCCGCCCGCCATCCTCATCACAGCTCCTTCACGAGAAGACATCCACTGCTCTAAGTCCAATCTGACCATATCTGAAGCCTCCAAAGAGCAGCAGCCTTCTTCCAAGCCCTATGTAGTGGGGAAGAGACACTGAACACACATGAGCTGCCACAGAGGGTAGGATGGGATCAAAGCAAGCAAACACTATGAAACTGTAAGCTGTGGTGGAATCATGTGGTTAATTCATTAATGGACATAATAGCCTACAGCTAAATTAAATGAACAATCTCTCTTCAGTGTCATTTTATCAAGCACATACATATTTATTTTTACTGACTCATACTTTGTGTTTACCTCCTTAAATCTGCACCTTGTTGAGGTTTTTATGGCCATAATCTATGAAATCTATAATAATGCAACTTTATTGGTTATTTAGTTATTTCAGTAGTAATGCTCAGTCTGTGGATCAGTTGTATAAAATAAAATATGTTTTATTGGTTTTAAGAAATAGGAAGAAGCTTGAAAGTGAATGGACTTACAGTACTGCTTCAAGTTTGACTATTTGTTTTAATAAATATGTTTATTTATTTAAGTGAAATACAAAATTGCTTCATGCATTACTCCTATTACTGTTAATGTTTATGCTTTCTATGTGCTCACAGTAGGCTAATTCTAATAACGTAAATAGAAGCCATGGGCAATATATACCATGTTGTTTTGATGACTATGTTGATTACATGTGTGGTACAATCATAATACGTTTACATGTTTATTTGTTATTTTATTACAGTTCTCGAAGATGGAGTCAAAATGGACTTTACAAAAACCGACCATTTGCGGATGATGTGATCACAACACACTGAAACTCCGGGAAAGCACTTAGTTGTCCTGTTGGTAGCCAAAAGCATAACAATATGGCGGCGCCCAACTCGGTGTGCTGCGGACTGTCGAGTTAAAGCCATAAGGGTCTTCTGAGGTTGAAAACAACCTTAAATGAAAGGATGGATAACGTAGGAGAGGACGAACCGGAACCTATAAAGCTCAAGTCTATCAAGACTAATAAAACATTCACAGTGCCTCAAAGTGACAGGGTAAGAGAAGTAGCTCCGCCAGACTCTGTTCAGGACTCTCATAGCGTTATGATTTACTGTTAATTAGCAAGAATACATAACTCATAGATGCCTAATGTACACTTAGCACGATTCATTATGGCCTAGTCTGATAAACGGCTTATATTTGTCACAGGTATCACTACATTTAAACACGGTAATGTGTATTTGTGTGACGCTCAGTATAAATGAATCACAATCTGCATTCAAACTGTATGAAGCTAGTGCAGTAGAGCAGGGGTTCCCAAAGTGGGGGTCGCGAGATGATTACAATTACAAATGTATTATTCACGTGGCCAGTCTCTGGCACTGTTATTTTGGGGGTCGCGGGCTGAAAAGTTTAGGAACCCCTGCAGTAGAGAAACACTACCGTAGCCACCCTGTTACATTCATATTCATACTGTTAATTATAAACCCTGCTTTTATATATTCTTATTTTGATCATGCAGCACATCATGCACTTTTATTCTGGGACAGGATTTTTTTTTGTATTGTGTCATCTTATATTTTTTAATATTCTTATATAATAGTTTTTACCTTTATATGTTTGTTTGTAAATCTAGTTTCTTAATATTTAGGTGTGGAGAGCTGAGCGTAAGAATTGCATTGTACAGTGCAACTGCCTGTTGTATGACAGAACAAATATCTTTAATCTTTAATAAAAAAAAGCAGTGTTGTTGTACTGTACTTTATAATATATAAATATATATATTTATGTATAAGAATTATTTTTACATTATGATACTTTATACTTTTTCTTCTCTACAGTTTGAATGCAAATATTATACTTTTTATTACATGTATTTATTTACACGTTTAGTTACTAGTTACTTTGCAGATTTTGGTAAATAAATTCAACAATTAAAAAATATCTGTTGTTTAAAATGGCCATTTTGCATAAGACATAGTTTTACTTTTGGTACTTATCGTGTATTTATATGCTCATATATTTTCACTTTGACTTATGTACAGTTTTAATGCGGGACTTTTACTTGTAACTGAGTATTTTTAAAGTGCAGCATTGCTACTTTACTTAAAGGTGGGGTAGGTAAGTTTGAGAAACCGGCTCGAGATACACTTTTTGTTATATTCCATGGAATGCTCTTAACATCCCGATAGCAATGAATATCTTAAGTGCTTTGACAAAAAATCCATAAAAAAATGTAATCTGTGGAAGCCGTAGTACTGTAAAAAGCACGACCAATCATTTTAGCCGGCCCGGCTAAAATAACTGGATGGCCTACCTGCCTGTCAGCCTTCCATCTGTGCACAAACTTATCTCATGCCCTCATTGGTCATGTGCGCGTTCGTGTGTGTTGGAGGAGGGGCTCTGTAAGGAAGTGGCAGATTTTTTCCAGCTGTGTGTTTTCAAATTCTAGCGCACTCAAGCTGGTTTCTCCAAAATTACCTACCCCACCTTTAAGAAAATAAGAGTATTTATTCCACCTCACCTTAAAAGCAATAAACAACAGGAAATCTTTATTAGGTTAAGTGGCTGCAAGTGTTCACTCAGAGGAAATGTGACACTATGTAACAAATTAGCTGTTTTTAATGGTGTTTGGCATTATTTCCGTAAAGGTGTGTTGTGATAAACTACCTGCAGTTATGAGTGCACATTGTGGAAAAGGAATTGGTTAGTTGGCGCCTTTGCTATATGTGTCAGTTAACTTTTAAAGTAAAATGCAGGTCTGTGCCTCTGAGCAGCTTAGCTCATTACTGGCTTCAATCTACACATAAGCCTAAATGTTAAAGCTATCTATCTACGTCATTGGGTGATTCCTCCTAAGGTGAGATCTCTTGCTACAAAAAAATCTCTCTTCCTTAACGACCTAGTTCACTTTATTAGAGCAGCAATCACAGTCACTATCATATTTAATGTGCATTGGGCCAAAGTTCCATTAAGGTAATTGCAAATTCTGCTCATCATTTTGGTTCAACTATTATTCATATTCACTTCAGTATTTATGAATACATGAAACTGTCACATCCAGAGGAATAGAGACACTTTCCAGTTACTATCATAAACCACATTTATTCTCCAGGCTTTATCCTGTAGGTCAATCAAATGAATCAATCTAAATGTTGTTCATATAGCCCCATATCACAATTGCACCTATGTTGCAGAGGGCTTTACAGTCTGGTAATAATGTATTCAAAATGTAATGACTGTAAAATCTTTGATTATAGCATGATGCATGAAGTCCACTGATGTGCGGAGAGCCTCTTTACCATCTCTGTCTTTTCACTCTTTTTCAGTTTGGGAGCTGCAGGAGTGTCAGAGAGTTTGAGAAGTTCAATCGCATCGGAGAAGGAACTTACGGCATTGTGTGTAAGTGTTTAATGTTTGAAGAGGAATTAGAAATAGCACTTTATTTACACTTCTCAGTAAATATACTGTTTTCTTCCTTCTGTAGACCGAGCTCGAGACACCAAGTCAGATGAGATTGTGGCTTTGAAGAAGGTCCGTATGGACAAAGAGAAAGATGGTAAGATCAATGCTCTGATTCATATGTCTGTGTTTTAATGCAATAGTTTTGGTGTGTTTTTCTTTGTTCCACATCCTATGTGTTGTTATGCATAGAATGACCTTTTTGTACATGTGGGAACTTTGTCCAGACTTAAAGCATGTAAACAACCTGAACAGGAGCATAACAGGCCTGATTTATTCCTGGTTTCTGTTGTTTGCGTGTTAAAATGACCTGTACGAGTGTTTAAAGCCTCTGGTTTCCTCCTGGTTCTGTCAGGGGTCCCCATCAGCAGCCTCAGAGAGATCACCCTGCTGCTGAGGCTCAGACATCCCAACATAGTGGAGCTGAAAGAAGTGGTTGTTGGCAGTCAACTGGAGAGGTAGTACACATACTCACACCGCCATGGTAGATTTCAAGTTTTACAAGAGAATGTTATACAGCAACAATTAATGCTGATCGTCTCACTGGGCGAAATGTAACTATTCAGCATCTGTCCCAGCCAGTGGTTGCGTTAGACATTTTCGTTGTCCGTCATTTTGACGGACAGGATCGTAACATTTCCGTCATAATCCATTATTACCCGTCACTATATGTTCATGTTTTAATGATGAGACATATTTAATATTTATGTCTAGGTACTAAGCAGCAAATGTTCATTCATTCCTTTTTTTTCTGATTCATACAGAACTTTTAAGGGCATGGAGAAAAAAAAAATGAACAGAGACACCGACCGTGCGGTCACTTTTCATGTCAAAACGAATATGAATGACTTATTTTTCCTTGCCACTTGCTTGTCCCTCTGCTGCTGGCTGAACGTTGTCAGTTTTAGTCTTACTGGCTTGTCCTTCATCCTCCACTGCATCAATCCCTCTTTTTTCACCTCGTTTATCCACACCATCACAATTACTGGGCTTATTAAAAAAGCTTCGGACACTCAGCTGCCGTGACATTTTGCGATTGCTAAAGCCGGTTAAACAACGAGGTAATCGACGAGGTCAAATACAAGACTAGACAATAGCTACTTAATATGCACACACTCGCCACCAACTGGACAGGGGTGTGAATGACTAAATAATAGTTACAGTAGAGTACAGTAGATCGCCCTCAGTCGACCTGGCCACCGCTGGTGGACATTTTGGCGCTGTTCCGAGTTGTGTTCTAATCTGTCAAAATGACGGACTGCTTTCAGAGTTTTCCGTCATTCTTGGAAAAATTACGTCATAGACGGAAAATATTCGGTTAACGCGACCTCTGGTCCCAGCTGTCTTTACCACAGTCATCTCAACCTGTTTTACACACTTTATCCTCCATGTTGTGTAAATGTGTGTGTTTCAGCCTCTTTCTGGTGATGAGTTACTGTGAGCAGGATCTGGCCAGTCTGCTGGAAAACATGCAGACCCCATTCTCTGAGGCTCAGGTAGGACAGATCTAAGGATTTTCTCACATAAATTCAGCATTTTGTAGTTGGTTTGAATTTCTCACTTAGATGCAGATAAATGAATTACAGTGACATTGCCCCCTTTAACTCCTCTCAAGGACCCCTGATTGTATCCAAACATCCTCTTAGTTAGGTCTGTGTTACATCATGTTCTCTTCTCCAGGTGAAGTGTATCGTCCTGCAGCTGCTCAGAGGCTTGGAGTATCTCCACCACAACTTCATCATACACAGGTCAGTCACACGCATTGACTGGAAACACCAACGCTGAGGCTGCAGTTCTTTTTGTACTTTATAGACTTAGGAACAGAAGTAAAAAAACTCTGACCGTCATTTTCTAGAGAGGATTACATAAATCTATCCAACAATAGTATCTGGTCAGCTTGTTGACACACCAAGTTGATGCTAACATTACTTGTTAGTTGTTTTATGCTAGCAAGGGTTGTTCTGCTATAGTCTGACTAGTTAAATAACATTTGTTCAGGTTAACTCAATTGACTTCTTATCTGTGAAACAACTGAACAGTTAATAGCATATATCTATACTGACCTAGATGAAATGATTCAGACACATTTTGACTTCTGGGATAAATATGTTTTGGTGTATTGACAAAAAGATTGTTGAATGTACTTTAGACAGAATTACACATTCAAAGAGTAATGACATCATGTTGTCTGGACTCAGGTCATAGTCTGGTGTAGCAGCAGGATAGACGGATGTTTTAAAGCATTCTTCAGCCTATTATGTTTAAATGAAGTATATCAGGTTGGCCGGTTATCTTCGTACACATTTGGATGTGATACATTTAAAATATTCTTGCTTCAAAAGATCTAAGTCGATGAAGGAAGTGAATACACTGCTGTATCTTTTTACATATCAATTATATAAGAGGAGTCCTTAATGTAGGGGCATCTTTCATAACAAACAGCTAGGTACAGTATGAAGAGATTAATGCTGAGATGCACAAGAAAAGAATGGATGGTTTTAGAGTTCTCAATGACATACATATAAAACTATATATATATAGTGTTATATTTAGGTCTGATTCTCTAGACACTGGAAAAAAGGCTTATAGAAATGTAAAAGCAGATTTACAGTTGATGTTTCGGGTAGGGCTGTGGCAAAAATCATAATCACGATTATTTGGGTCAATAATTGATATCACGATTATTAAATACGATTATTCATTGACTTTGAAAAAATACATTTATTGAACTTTAAAACAAATACAAATAATAATTTGAACAGTATCTTTTTAACTGTTGATTACCCTGAACGTATAATTCAACTGAAAAACCAATACAAAAATAAATAAAATAAATGATACATTTAAATAAATAATATCAAAATAATAAATACCAATAAACAAGATCAACACATATTTTGGAGCGCACTTCCCCAAGCTACTAAACATATATAAATATGATAAATACAAATAAATGAGACCAAAATTAATTAGATCAAAATATGTTCTAGTGCACTGTCACAACCTAGCAAAGCTAAATAATAGTTTTTTTCGATTATGTTGTTTTCATAATTGTGGCAGGCCAAAATCGTAATTGCGATTAAAATACGATTAATTGCACAGCCCTAGTTTCGGGTATACTAATATAATTTTAGGCAAGGACCCATATCTATATTCTGATTTGCAAAGGCAAACCATGTAGACTTTTGACCAGGGAATGCCTTAAGGGCAGAATACCTCCAATTTGGAAAGAATCTAAATAGTGAAAATACATAAAAAAAATGTTACAGCTTTGTGAGTTCATGTGGATAAGCTTGAACAAATCTGACAAAGGTGTGTTTTAACCTGTTCAACCCTGAGCCTGTTTTTCAGGTCTCAGGCTCGAAAATGACATTCCCAGAACAAATGACCATATCTTCCCTTCTAAAAGGGTTAAATTAATAATCTTTGTTCTCAAAGTAATGATAAACCTGTGAGTTGGATGTAAAAAAGTCAGAAATCAATATAGATGTTTATATATATATATATATATATATATATATATATATATATATATATATATATATATATATATATATATATATATATATATATATATATAGATGCCCTGAGACACAGTCTCTGGGGGGACCCCAGTGCTTAAGATTAAACGTTTTTTGCTATATTATAATCTAAAAATGCATGACAAGTGTGGGAGGGGGGGTGAGTGCATTGAGGCGGGCGGATGATCCTCTCTAATCGTGTTTTCAGGGACCTGAAGGTGTCTAATCTGCTGATGACAGACAAAGGCTGCGTTAAGATCGGTGAGTCATCACAATCAGCAGCTGTCACTGTTATCCTGTTATTCCTGTTCTCACTGGCCGTTTCTCAATGTCGAGTATACCTGCTGCAGAGCCACTATTTCAAGTATACTACGTCATCGAGTTGCGCCGAATGCTGGGCATTTAAACATTTAAACAGTCCTTCGGTGCCACTCGATGACGTAGTATACTTGAAATAGTGGCTCTGCAGCAGGTTTACTCGACATTGAAAAACGGCCACTGTGTCCCTACTCCAGCATGACCTTTGACCCCCCATCTCTGTCCCTCTTTCTGTCAAGACTGCTAACTTCAATTTTTCCTGAAATGAATATAGATAAAGCATTATTTATATATCTGCTAATTAAAGAATATTCTCTATTTACAACCTCCTGCAACACAACAAATTAAAAAAATGTTACAAGTCTGCACAGTTGCATCTCGAATGTGAATGGTATTTTTGTAAAGTAAAATATATGAGCCAAAAGCGATTATATATTAGTTTTTTAAAGAATATATGCTGTTGTTCCGGCTCCTCCAATAATATTCATCATTGTTCAATGACTATCTTTGAGTGACAAAAGAAGCAATTTCAATATGTCACCTGGGCTCTGGGAGTTTTTGAGTTGACATTTTAATGGATGAAATTAATTTTCTGACATTTAATCATTGTCTGGATCTGTTTGTCCTGCAGCTGACTTTGGGTTGGCCCGGATGTACGGCATCCCCCAGCAGCCCATGACCCCTCGAGTGGTCACACTGTGGTGAGTCTCACACGTGCTCACCCTAAATAATGCTTTATTTGTAAATAGCAAAGGTAATAATACCACGTTGTAGAAATTCTCTGTTACAAGTTAAAGTCTTGCATTTAAAATGTGACTTAAAAGTACAAGTATTTCCATCAACCTATACTCAAAGTACCAAACTAGAAGTACTCATTGTGAAGACTGGATATTTTTAGAATAATAAATATTAGATCATTGGATTCTAATTAATGATCCATTCACGGAGACAGTTTAACTTTGCAGCTGCTCAAGGCGGAGATAACTTAAAGGGGACCTATCATGCAAAATGCACTTTTGTACGTCTTTTATACATGAATATGTGTCCCCGGTGTTCCAGGGAACTCACCAAGTGTCAGAAAACACAACCCTCTCTATTTTCCTCCATACCCAAATCTCTAAAAAAGGGGCTGCAACGGATCTGATAAAAATTGATCCAGATTTGAACACTTCTATGTCGTCAGTAAAGTGGCGCTACGGCTATTGGGCCAACTCTCCACCTATCAGGGGAATGTGGGGTTGGGCCACGGCCGGCCATTGCCGCTCGAAAGCGCTGGAGACGCTGTAGTACATATGCCAGGCCTGTAAGTGGCGCTGTAGTCTGCCACAAAAGCAGCGAAGAAGACTTCCCGCGTATAGTTACCATGGTTACCCTTCTGTTTATTCTCCGCTGTGGCTTTTTTTCTCCCTCCCCGAGGCAAGCGTTTGCTCCCGCTGCTTTAATTCAATGCAATCCCTCCCCGTCGAGGCAAGCACTGTAATTCTCTCCGGTTAGTCCACCAGCAGATGACAAACACCCACCTCTCCGCCTCTTCCAAGGAACGAAGGGACCGTGCGGCAGAGTTTCAGTTAGGTTTTCTTTCACCGGTCAAGATGTCCGTTAAAGTTGAAATCTTCCGGACAAAATTTGAAAAGTGCCGGTCAAAGGTCTTCTTTGTTATTTATTGAGCTTTAAAACAAATTAATAATGACTCTATATAATAATATAAGAAAAAAACACGGAGGACGGAGATCTCTTTTTCTCCCCCTCTGCCCAGCAGCTGATCTCAAAGCACGCTCCCCTCTCCTGCAGGGGGGCGTGGTCAGCTGCAGCTCATTTGCATTAAAGCTACGTCACAGAATCAGCCCCCTGCAAAAACAGGGCTGGAAAGAGCAAATAGAGCGAAATGAGGCATGGCTAAAATGCAGGATCTGTTTGGTATTTTGAAAAAAAAACAATATTTATATACCTTATATAGGTATGGCCCTACAATATATTGTTCAAATATAGCATGATAGGTCCACTTTAAATTGTGTGCGTGCGTGCGTGCGTGTCTTCTAATCTCCTCCTTTAGTTCCATCACCTTGGGCAATGGCTCAGTCACGGTATGTGTTAATCCCCCCCCCCAAATCTGTCTGCAGGTACAGAGCTCCAGAGCTCCTCCTAGGGACAAAGACCCAGACTACAGCTCTGGATATGTGGTGAGGCTACATTATGAGACACTCATACACACATTCACATCATGCATGACCTCCACATAAGAAGGAAACATTTTTTCAAGGGGGGGGCACTACAGGGGAATCTAGTAAAAAAGATGTAACCAAGACATTTTACCTTGAGACTTTCTTGTTTCATTTTGTTGACATATGTCACATTTTGTTGACATATGTCAAAGGCTTTTACAGAGGGAATTTAAAGGTCACCTATTATGCAAAATCCACTTTTTCATGTCTTTTATACATAAAAGCGGTGTGTGGCGCAGTAGTCTAGTGCGTTGGTGTTCGGATCAGGGGAGCACAGGTTCAAACCCCACTGCAGTCAGCATGTCGTTGTGTCCCTGAGACACTTCACCCCAAATTGCTCCTGTGGGGATTGCCCACAGTATTGAGTATGTAAGTCGCTTTGGATAAAAGCGTCTAACAAGTAATAAACATGTGTCCCCTCTGTGTAAAGAGACTCTGAAAGTTTCAGGAAAAAAGATTCTCTCTTTTTGTCCTGATCCATTTATATAAAAACCTGTCTGAAAATGAGCTGATCAGATTTTGGCCACTTTATGATGTGTGTAACCATTAGCCAATCACCAACCAAGGTAACCCCCCCCCCCCCACCTTATCACCTGAATCTCCTCCTAGAGCACCATAAGCCGCGTTCACACCGGAGTACTTTTCCCCGTACTTTTCGTGTTTAGTTCCGTTAGTACCCCTTATGTCGCGTTCACACCAAAAAGAGCACTTCATCTCGGGAACTTTTACCCCCATTTTTAGTGCCTGCTGAGAGATGGTACTTTCCTGGGGGAAAAAAGTGCCCCAGTTCTGATTGGCTGGGCGAATTGCAAACCATGCCCCGTACAACTCTGAAATGTTTTGTAGAGCCGCCATTTTATTATCCTCGCATTATTAGCATTAGCATTCGCCCAGCGCACAAACGCAGAGAGACTAACTTATGGCAACACAAAACAAAACATGGGAGCGGTGGAGATGAGGAGGTGTCGGCGTTCTGGCGATTTACTCAGAAGGCTTCAGTAGAAGCCAGTCCCCAACTCAGGGGACTTCCGGCCGGGGACTCCGGGTGGCAGTATACGCCGTGAAGTGGTTTGCGGCCTGCCAGTAAACCCAAAGCAGAAGAAGACGAAGTGACGTCAGCGGCTCATTTGCGTAATCTTCCCTCAGGGAACTTATTCCGGTGTGAACGCGATCTGTACTAAGTGCCCTGGGGTGATAAGTGCCGGCACTAAGTACGGCAAACAGGGTGCGTACGGGTGCTGGAAATCCTTGAAAATGCTTGATTTTTTTTTTTCAAGGTTTGAAAAGTGCTTGAATTTTGGGAATGGTGCTTGAATTTGGGATAAAGTGCTTGAAATTGTAAATGCTTTACTTTGCTTTTTAGATGAAAAGAAAATAAAGAAGTCGGAGCGCGCTTAATTGCTTCGCTTTTACATAAAACAGCTCCGCTCCGGCCTTCCCGCGCAATGCGCGTGACCGGCAAGTGTTACGTGTGTGACCTGGGCATTCTGATGAGAGTGATAGATGACAGTATGCCAGGAGGTTGCCGTTTCAACGAGCGTTGGCTAGCAGAAGACAAATACAAGCCATGGCTAAGACGAGGGTCAAGCGAAGCCCAAGAGGAGCCTCCTGCAAAGTGTGCAACAATAACGATGCGAGAGTCTGCGCTGACGAGCCACACACCACACGAAAGGTACGCTGTCGTAGAACATTTTAGATTAGGCTATCGTTGCATGTAAAATACATGACACTTTTCTCTGTGCGCGGCAAAATGGCTTCACTAGTCTGGCAGTATTTTAAGTGTCCGAAAATGACAATAAAATAGCGGTATGCAACGTGTGTGTGAAGCAGAAATCCTGCAGCTCCACCCGCTGTGACGGACCGGTGAGCGGAGCAGAACACACATTAAGAGTTAGACCTAACACACTTAGCTATTTGATCTACCTCTGGAACAAGCTAAACTAGTTATAAATATATTTATTCTTCACTGTCGGGTCACTCATTACTGGATCAGTGAGCTGCATGAGATACTGACAGGCTGTCAGGAGAGAGAGAGAGGGGGAGAGAGGAAAAGAGAGCGCTTCCGCTCATTTCTCCCGTGTTATTATCCAAAGTTAATGTAAACTTGAATAATGTACTTCATTTGAATGTAACAATTATGTTGGTTGTTGTTTGTGGAAGCGCCAGTGAATGAGCCCCATTAACTGAGTTTTAAACATCACTTTAAATGGAAGATCCCCATAGGCCCCGCCCACTCGATCGGATCGGCGATCGGTATCGGCCGATACTGATTCCGGCGATCAGCCCCAAAATTGGCGATCGGAGCATCCCTAATAATTGTATCTGATATGTTTTATAATGATTGATCATTAAAGTGTTATCAAAGCTGGTAAAGTTGCAGCTAGTTTGAATGACTTTGTATACTGCAGGGTAGCTTGTGAATTTACTCCAGGTGGAACTAAAGTCTGATTTAACACTTGATTATATTTCACATCATTCATCCACATCTGTGAAGTAACTAAAGGTATTAAATACATGTAGTGGAGTACACCATGTACCTCTGACTTGTGTTTACTGCCAACCTAAAAGTACCTCAAAAATAGTAATCAATAATGTATTGAAAAGTTATTTGGCTGATTGTTTTATATTGGCTCAGCCAGGTTATATGGGATGCCCAGTCTACGTACAGATGGGTCACTCATTTTGAAATTTTAAACTTAGTTTTGTTTTCTAACATTTTTAATTTTTCATCCTCATGTAGAATGCTATTATGAAACACACATTTGGTTGTTTATAGCATAAAGAAATAATCATTTGAGTGTAAGTATGTAATTTACAACAGCTGTAAGATGCTTGAAAAGTGCTTGAATTTGACTTTGGAAAAGGTGTAAGAACCCTGGGCAAAGTACTTGAGAGGGAGAGAGAGAGAGAGAGAGAGAGAGAGAGAGAGAGAGAGAGAGAGAGAGAGAGAGAGAGAGAGAGAGAGAGAGAGAGAGAGAGAGAGAGAGAGAGAGAGAGAGAGAGAGAGAGAGGAGAGAGAGAGAGAGAGAGAGAGACGAGCTCTCTCTCTCTCGTCTCTCTCTGCTCTACTCTCTCTCTCTCTCTCTCTCTCTCTCTCTCTCTCTCTCTCTCTCTCTTCTCTCTCTCTCTACTCTTCTCTCTCCTCTTCTCTCCTCTCTCTCTCTCTCTCTTCTCTCTCTGCTCGACTCTCTCGCTTCTCTCTCTCTCTCTCCTCTCTCTCTCTCTCTCTCCTCTCTTTACTCTCTAGCTGAGAGACTCTCAAGTACCTGAAAACTGTACTTAAGTATATATTTGATTACTTCACATCTGTACTTTGATCTGTTAGTGTGATAGACACTGAGAAATGTTTCAAATGTTCGTACCTGCCCACAGATTGCGGTGGAATGGGAAATTGAACATGCAAAATAAGTCATTGGCATAAAAACATAGTACTTCACCTCTAGTGTCCTTGTATGTGAGGGGAGAGTTATAATATCATCACCCCGCCACTCTCAGGTTCCTAAGCTTTATCACCAAAAGAGACTTGTCACACTATTCTTACACACAACACCGTAAGGAGCCAATAGGAACCCTCTGTTTGAAATACCTGCTGACACTGAACAGCTGATGTTCTGCAGGGCAGTGGGCTGCATCCTGGCTGAGCTGCTGGCCCACAAACCTCTGCTCCCAGGAGCCTCAGAGATCCAGCAGGTGGACCTGATCGTGCAGCTGCTGGGGACCCCCAACCAGAACATCTGGCCTGTGAGACCCCCGCTCTGAACATCTGCTCATATTGACATATCTGTCAGGTCTGAAGATGTCAAAGGAATATGCTAAATTGTTTGTGTGTGTGTCCCAGGGTTTCTCTCAGCTGCCCCTCATTGGTCAGTACAGTCTGAGGAAGCAGCCGTACAACAACCTGAAGAATAAATTCACCTGGCTGTCTGAAGCCGGACACAGACTGCTCAACCTGCTCTTCATGTACAACCCACAGCGCAGGTACACACACACACACACACACACACACACACACACACACACACACACACACACACTCTTACACATGTGGGGACAGGATAGTCTATTTTATATGTCAGAGTTAAAAATAGAACAGGTGTAAATATATAATCTCAACTAAAATCTGTTGTTAGGGAACATTAAAGAGCAAGAAGACTAGGGCAGGATCCTTATTTCACTTTTACAGCCAAATTGAAAACAAAGGCTAACTCATTTAGAACACTCGTGCGTGAGTTCAGTTCTCAAGCACGTATGTAAATGTACTTTGTACAGCTGCAAATAACCACATTAATGATGCAGTGTGATGCCACTGTTGGGTTTGACAGCAACATGTAGGTCTTCACTTATACAGATGAATGTGCTGGAGGAAACATTTTCACCAAGCCTGCCAACCAGTGAAGTGCACTCATATATACATAATACAATGAAATAAATACTTGCCATACATCAATACTGCCACATTTGCAGAGCTCAGCTGCAAACAATCTGTACATCTTGAACAAAGGGAGAGACAAGCTCAGCCTCCCCTCTGATTGCGCGACCCCTCAGAGACTGAATGCAGTGCGGGCGTAAAGTCGTTCCTGTCACCATCTCTGTCTTTAACCAATGTGATGTTAGTCGACCCCTCTTCACGTCCTGGGCTTCCTGATCCCAATTATTTCACGTATGTGTAAAATATATATAGGGTTGCTGGTTATAAAACTGCCACAGGGGAGGCAGTGACCACATCTGCCTCACTGGGGGGGGGGCTTCAGGGCACACGTAATTAACGCTTGCTCTGCCTGCTAGTGCTGTGGAGCAAACCCCACCTCTCCTTTTTTTTCTCTTTCTTATTTTCTCAAGCAGATTGCATTCCCACATTTTTCACTGGCCTGAAAAAACCCGTCAAAAGTTGTCTTTGGTTCAAACAAACTGTGGGGCTGATTTGAAACACTGTTGACACTCGATCAATAACTCAGCATTTCTCCGCTTCAGAGAGAACAGTTGAGCTCACTGAATACACACATGTTGTCTCTGTCTGCTGACTCATCCTTCCATTGGTGTCACAATGATGCTGAACACAGGTGGTCATTTCTTCTATAGAACTCATTAGAGGATGGCTTCTGTCTTTCCTAATCTGCCCCTGTGGCCCTTATCTACTGTGCTCTAAAGGGCCCATGCAGTATTTCCTGGATATCTGTAGGCTTCAACAATATTCTTATATATATCAGGAATTCAAAGTCAATGTTCATTTTTCTTTGTGTTTGTACAGACAGAGATCGAAATAACGTTTCCAACAATCCCGAATACAAAATACAATTATACAAATATGTATACAAATATGTCAATATCACTCAAAACTGACTAAAATACAAGCTGATTCTTCACAACTACTGTGGGTAGGGTGGGCGGTTCTCTGCAGGATTGTGTGTGTGTGTGTGTGTGTGTCGGTGTGTCTTTTAAAGAATGTAGTTGAATACAATTTTAACTAAGTTAAACAAATTGTGTGACTGAAACATCAATCATGTTTTTATATGTGTGCTCCTGATGCAGAGCTACTGCCAAAGACAGTCTGGAGAGTTCCTACTTCAAAGAGAAGCCTCTACGTGAGTGAAAGATTATGATATGCATCATCAGCTGTTTCCCTTGCCCTCTGACCCCCCCCAACTCATCTCTCTCTACCTCTCTGCAGCCTGTGAGCCCGACCTCATGCCCACCTTCCCCCACCATCGCAACAAGCGGGCCGCCCCCCCAGCAGAGAGCCGCTCCAAACGCAGCAAAGTATGATGGGAGATGGAGTTGATGAGACACTCAGAAATGACCTTGTGCAGGAGGAACATTCTCAGGAACGGATGTTGGTTTCTGTTCACAACGAGTGCATGGAACGTAGATCTGCTCATGGGGAGATGTTACTGCTAATGCAAACAAGTTCAACTATTGGTCATTCATTTTCATCCAGCTGAAGCTGATAAGTCACACTGGCTGCGCTGTGTTCAGTATGATGACACAGAGGTCATCTGAACATGTAAAAAGGCTATGAGGAGCATTATTTTTAGCTATACTTCCTAGTTCTCGCATTGCTGCCAAGGCCTTTGCACAAAAGAAGGGAAAGTAATGAAGACGGAGTTGCCTTGACAACAATGCTGAGGCATTTTGTACTTTGTTTCGAGCATTTGTCACATTTGAGATGTTCTGTTATAACGGTCTCTGCTGTTCTGTGATCAGTTTGGATCTTAACATGAGGATGAGACTGAAAGGCATGACCAGGAAGAAGAAGAGGCTTTAAAGTCTGACGGCCTGGCATTATACACTTTGAGTTAAAGGCAGATTCTTCCAACTCAAAGAAAATTAGTTTTTGGCAACAAAAATGGGATGGAATGAAATGGCAGCTTGGTCTCATGTTTGGTCCTCACAGCCATCTGTTTGTGTGATGACTGTCAAAGTGACCTTTGGGTGAGGGTCATCCCTGAATCTGCTCCCTCATCATAAGTTGTTATAGGGATAGTTTGCGTTAAAAAAAGCTTTTCTGCGAATTAAATGACAAAATGGATATCACTCTGTGTCTACATGCTAAGCTAACGGCCTGCTGGCTGTGGCTTCATATTTACTGAACAGAGGTTATCAATCTTATTTTCTTACTTTAGGCTAAATCAGGGATTTGTTTTCAAATGTCAAAGTAATCCTTTTGGAGCCTCAGCTCGGCTAAACGTACTGTAATAATTAAGCAGGGGCTTCCTTAGCAGAAATCACTGAGAAGCGGTTGACTCCTGGCTGTCTGCAGTCACATTTTTGAGTTTGGTATATTTACAGAGCCTCTAAATGTCTTTAAACTGTCATCTGTAAAACATAATAAAGATGTCGTAACAGCAACTGTGCCTTTTCCTTTGAAGTGTCAGTTTATTGAATGCAGGTTAATCAGTAGTAATGGTCAGCGGCAGGTTAGTTCCCTCACAGGGACGTCCTGACCTCACACTGAAGCAAACAGGAAGTCCCGTCAGTCCGCAGACAGGCCTGTGATCAGCAGAGGTCAGAGAGTACAGACTGACTGGTCCTGCTGTACAGCTAGCTTTCTTTGTCTGAAAGCTGACAACAGGACAAATACTAGCTAAGCTTGTGAAGGAAAGCCCTGAACAGACGGTACTGAAACAATATGGTGATGTCTTGAGTTGAAGCATATTCACCTCCCAAAATAACAGAAATCCTTCACAAGACATAAATAAATACTTAAAATGTAAACATACGGTATCCCTATTCATCAGTCAAGTTGTATAAACAGTGGTCTGTTGAATCATTTATGGTAGAGAAAACTAAATCAAAATGTTAACAGATGTGCTTGGTTGATTCTCTTTAACAGGAAGTGTTCAGCGTACTGAACAATCTGAAACTTAAATAGATGGAAGTCCAAGAGGGAAGTAGTTTGAGCTGCTTTAAAAGAAAAGTGAAGCCGAGGTTCAAACTTCAGTCTTAACCTTAGAAAATGGATTTAGAGAGCTTTCCATCACATCACATGATCTCCATCAGCAGCCCATTAAGCCCTGCTAAAGGCTGTTTAGCACTATCTGCTGAGAAGAACATGTGATACGACCAAATCAACTTCGTTGTGAGATTATTTTCTGAAGAGCTACTGGAGACTTAATAAAAACATATTTTTCAAGTTTTTGGATTGAGGAAATGTAGTGTTTGGCTCTTACTCAAGCACATCTCTACTGCTGTAGATATGAAATATGAACGCCTGCAGACAGCTGCAGAGGGACACTGAGGCAGCTTTTTGATTCACTTCATCAAAATACATTAAGACAAACAAGTTTCATAAAAACAATTAGATGCAGTCACACACTCGCATGCCTGGCAGGAGAACTCTTCTTCAAATGTCAGTCCTTCATTAAAACCCAAAGCAAAGTGCACACAGGCAGAAAAATGTACAGTCCTTCAGAGAGGGACAAACTATCATTCAGATCTGAAGCAGCCTTCCTCACGTCTAAGCACAAAGTTGTAGTGGATACATTGGTGCGGCTGCTTTGTAATGGAACAGTCTGAAATGGGGGGGAAAGAGCTCTATAGTCCAACTACCAAATCACAGCATGGTAAATAATGTAGCAATCTGTCAACTTCCTCCAGGGATTCAGACCTTCTGGAGGATCAACAGGAGGATCACATTTCTTGCCATGTCTTTGTTCCAGTCTTTTATTTTGAAATCCATGAGGAGGTGAACCGAGCGCTGAGTTAGAGGATGAAGCTTGTGGGACGGAACAGCTGATGGGGGGGGGATGAGAGTTGATGGGAGCAGTTTGACTTCTGGGGGGGGTTGGAGCCTTGTCTCTCAGCCCTCCATCCCAAAGTCCTCTGTGAACTTCTGGACCTTCAGCAGGTCTTCAGTGTTGACCGTGGGCCGGGTGGTGGCCAGGGAGCGCAGCATGTCCGACTGAAAGGAGAGGGGACGCAGGACAGTTAGCTTCACGTTGTTTTCCATCAAGCAAGATTATACGACATTAGACATCACACTGTGGAACATTTTGATGAGCGTTGTGTGCAGCTAAGGTAAAGTAGAAAAGAGACTGATCACACTAAAGTAATTGATGAATAACGGGATATTATTGTGCATTATCAAGCTGCTTAAGTGAATACTCGATTCTGATTGGTCAATTTGAACATTCAATATGTATCTCACCATGCAGACTATAGGCTCCAGCAGCTTATGACTAGGCACCTCCATCCAGGTCATCTCTATGGCTGCAGGGTCGCCAGGGGAACAAGGGGTCAAGAGGTCGTCCACCGTCAGCTGGTTGTTGCTTCTGGACGGCCCTCGAACCTGACGAGTCAGAACAGGAAACAGAGATCAGTGTTTAAGGATAATTAGTAACTATAACAGGAAATTGACTGAAATGGCCTCTTTAAAGTGGACGTATTATGCTATATTTGAAAAATATATTGCAGGGCCATACCTATACAAAACATGTCTGGTATTTTAAGCAAAAAACTTCACAAACAGATCACCCATTGTAGCCATGCCTCATACTGCTCATACCCCTCTATTCCAGTCCTGTTCCAAAAAGGCTGATTCTGCTTTAAATGGAACGGCTGCTGCTAGCCACGCCCCTTTGTAGCGTCACGCTCCTAACCACTTCAAGCTTTATTTCTGAAACAGTATGGAGCTCAAACCTTTCTCTCCCGCAGGGTTTACCGCAAGGAAATTACGTTACACATATTCTCTCCAGTACAGTGTTAGCTCTGAGGGTTAGCATGCTTACTAATGTAAACACAGACCATATTACTCCCAAAACACGCATTGTTTCTGATACAGCACATAGCTTGACATGTTCTTTCTTAAGTCTTTACCACTGTGCCATTATATGTATTATATATAACAACTTTACTCTAAGTGCCTCCTGCAGACATCCTGCTGAATACACAGACACACAGCTGCAAGAGGGGATTCAGCTAGACGACTGTATATGGAGACGATAGGTTGGGACGTGTCGCGTGTGCCGGATGTCCCCAATGACGTCATAGGAGCCAAAATTCTGGATCTGCTGGTTTGCACACCTGTTTCTTTTGTGGGTAAGGAGGAAAAGAGAGAGGGTTGTGTTTTCTGACACTTTGTGAGTTCCCTGACACACCGGGGACACATATTTTTGTGTGAAAGACATCAAAAAGTGCATTTTGCATAATAGGTCCCCTTTAAGATTTTTGTTTTCCACTGGCTTCCAGAAGATATCACCTTTTTGAAGTGGGTGGCAGACTGGACCTTCCTGACGGGCTGCATGAGAGCGTCCCTCACGATGATGCTGATGTCAGCGCCGGAGTACCCCTGGGTTTTGTGGGCGAGCTGCCGCAGGTCAGGCTCGCTCAGGCTGTGAGGCGTGTTCCCCAGGTGGAGGCGGAACATCTGAGCCCGAGCCGGCTTCTCCGGCAGGGGGATGTAGATCCGCTTTTCAAACCTGACCCCCCACAGAGGAAACCCCCCTCTCCATCAGTGAGCAGCTTCACACACATTTAAGCCTTGTGCCTCACTGGGAACATGCATTTTAGATTTGATCATTTTGACCTTGTGAATGCATATGGCTTACATTTTGGCAAGTTATTTTGTTTTTTGGAAGTTTAACCTAAACCCATATAATACGTTTATAACACTGTGTGTAGGCGACATGAAGTAAAACAAAGATGTCCCCATTAAACCACCATTTCTGATCCTATGGTGCTGGTACACTCTCTTCCTGGTTTCCACTAGGGGAAATACTTCTGCACAGTGTGTTGCATCAAAATCCATGTTACTTTTCATAGCTCGCTTAAAATGTAATTCTATTTTGTGAGTTTTTGTGTGGCACTCACAAACTACCAAGAGATGTAAAGACTAAAGAAGATGAATCTGTTATTATAATAACAGACTATGACCATGCTGCAGTTGCCCAGACTCACAGTGTTTAGAGTGGACACACAGCTGTTGTATAAGCATGGCATAAGTGTCTCTTCTGACTGACAGAGAATCATTTGCTTATCTGAATAATAATAACACTACAGAAGTCATGGTGAGGCAAACACACGGAGTGACCTCTGACCTTCTGCGGATGGCGGCGTCCAGCACCCAGGGGATGTTGGTGGCCCCGAGCACCAGGACCCCATCGTTGTTGTTTCCCACACCTGCACAACCACAGAGCTTCAGTCAGCTTTTCTGTATTCGCTTATTGGCATAACCTGACCTTGGTAAAGTACACACAACATTAGAATAGTCTAGACGGCACAGCGTTCCCTGTGCAGTGTCAGGTGTGTCTCACCCTGCATCTGGACCAGGAACTCCGTCTTGATGCGGCGGGCGGCCTCGCTCTCGTTCTCGTTCCTGGAGCCGCACAGCGAGTCCACCTCGTCGATGAAGATGATGGAGGGCTTGTGCTGCCGAGCTAGGTCAAACAAGTTCTTCACCAACCTGGGGGGGGGGGGCAGGGGCGGAGACAGATTGATTGCAATATTAGAGGAGGAACAGTCCTTCTAAGGCTGCAGCCACACGAGGACGATAACGGTCGTATCTGCTAGAGTTCTCTATCAGATAGACGGTTCGGCCACTCGAGGCCAACATGGCAACGCAGAAAACAATAACAATAACGATAACGGGTCCCAAGGTGGGTAGATCTGCGGACGAAACGCTCTGGGGGGCCAAACGGCTCTGTGATTACGCCCTATAACGGTCATTTCGAGCCAGGTCCCGGTATCTCACAGGACAGTGCACCCAGCAGGAGCTGAGCGGAACAAAACACACACTTCAAGTTAGATCATCACCCTTAGCTATTTTAATGACCTCTCAAACTACCTAAACTATGTTTATTTTGACTGTCGGGTCACTCATCACTGGATCAGCTGCTGCATGAGACCACGGATACTGACGGGCTGTCAGAAGAGGGGGAGGAAAAGAGAGGCTCCGTCCTCCGTGTATTATTCTTATATTATTATATAGAGACTCTGAGGGCCTAAGATATTCTAAAAAATAATATTTGAAAACATAAAAAAATAAACTTTCATTAGTTTTACCAAAATAACTTGATTTAATTGTATTTAAAATAACATTTCCAAATAAATAAATCCTTCGAATCTGCCTGTTCAGTTTCTGTTGGAATGTGAAGGGTTAAATGAAAGAAGCTCGTCTCTGCGAGTTATGTGAAGACGGGAGAGCTTGTTGGTCCCTCTGTACATTCACAGAGGGCCAGCTATAGTAACTCAATGAGAGAGTAATGTCAAATGACAGGACAATTGACCAATCATATCCTCCCTCTAAATGGGTGGGCTTTATTTTCGCGGACTTTATGACAAGATCCGCCCGCTGTGAAGTTTATGCATGTGTATAAAATGGTGCAGTGACGCGTCCTAAAACCCGGAAGTAAGCTGCGCATGAGTTCCCTCCACACAAAAACAATGGGATTTCTCCACAGGGTTTTGGAAAATAGCTGGAAATAAGGTCTGTGGAAAACGAACCTGTTAGATAAATGCACGTTTTGTTCAGCCGGATCATATCCACATGTCTACCCTACTTTTATTATTTTCGAATAAATCTAATCGATAGATTTATGATTAGTATAAGTTCGTTCATGATGGCTCATGTCAGTGATAGTGATGACATCGTTGTGAAATTATTAACCGAGTCATTTTCAAGATTGAGTTACAATGATAAACTGGAGTGGCAAAGGATCAGCTGCATGACCCCGCCATCAAGTGCTTCATCCAAAAGGACAGGAGGATGGACTTTGTGTTTAAGTGATTTGATCATCAAAGGTAGGCCTAAGTCATTTTCAATGTGGGCCGCCGTGCCGACGCAATTCATTTGTAATTGTTACTTGGCTGTGGGTGCCCTGTGATGATAGGTGTTTACATGGTGTTGTTTTGTGTGGTAGAGGGCCGCTGTCATTGATGCGTTTTGCACCCCGGGCCGTTGTTCTGATATTCCGCTGAAGTATACGCTGTGACGTAATAACTCTTCTTTTTCGAGGGAAGGGGGCCTAGGTATAAAAGTCACGGCTCGCCACTGTAGTTAACAGTCTACGATGATGGCTATGGTGCTAGGGTAATAAAGTGTATGTTAGGGCTGCACGATATATCGTGTCGTGACGATAATCGCGATATGCGCATGCGCGATATTCACATCGCGTGGACGTACGATTAAAAAAAAAAAAAAAGGATCTTTTAAGGATCTACCGCTAGTCTTGAGCACTGTAAAGATAACCTGTTAAATAGTATTTGCCAGGTGTCTTTAATTGTAGTATTCTCTAAAAACAAGTTGTAATGATAAAATCCCCTCAAATGTACTCGGTGCCAGGTAAGAAGATATGGTAGAACTGTATGAGGCACTGCTGCTCCTTCACTGCACAATGGCCTAATGTTGAGCTTTACATCTTCTGTTGCTCCACAGTGAAGTACATCCGCGAGGTCTCTCCGCTCTTCAAGAAGCCGTCCCTGGTGGCCGAACTGCCGTGGGATGGCGTCCGCCCGCAGTCGCCTAGCTACAGCGGCAGCGAGGACTCCGGCTCGCCCAAACACAGCTCCCCCCCCCCCCAAAGACAGGAAGGTCATCAGCCTGAAGATGTGCTTCATCAGCAGGAACCTCACCATGCCAGACCTGGAGAACAGGTACGCTGGGACCTCCTCTGTGTGTGTGTGTGTGTGTGTGTGTGTGTGTGTGTGTGTGTGTGTGTGTGTATATGTGTGTGTGTATGTGTGTGTGTGTGTATGTGTGTGTGTGTGTGTGTGGGTGTTTGTGTGTGTGCTTTTAAAAAAAAAACTCAAACACGTCATGTTACAATTCTTTTGCTGCTTGCTACAAAAGGAAAACTCGCGTGGCTCTCATGTCAGGGGTACTTGAGTGAGTGACATGCAGGCTCTGCATGCACAGCAAACCACCAATCACAATCAAATCTCCAAAGCAAACGGACTCGGTGATTAAAGGTAAAAACACTGAATAAAGTAGTTTCATGTGTTTCTCCAGGGCAGTTCGGCGCTGCTAACCGAGCTAGCTCAGCTTGTTGCTCTGATAACTTAAGATCCAGACGTCCGTGACTAAAATCCTTCATCCGGTTAAATATAGTTAAAAAAATACCAATTGTATAGCATTAAAGTTCAAGAAAGGATGGTTTGCGGAAAAGAAAACGGTCTTTTCTTCAATTCCTGTATGTTTTCATATCGCAGGGGAAAAAAAATCGCAATGTCAGTTTTTTTCCAATATCGTGCAGCGATGTGTAAACTTTGGATAAATCGTTAGCAAAGGGCTGGATATCGAACTGCTGACCCACCGATTGGTAGACCTTCATTCATCAATCTACATGCAGGGAGGTACGGGTGCTTTGTTATGTTAAGCACAGGGGCATTAGGGGTAGGGTCATTGGTTGTTGGGGTAGTTGTGTGTAACTGGTGTGAGAGCAGTGGGCTGAAAACACAACCCGTCTCTATAATAAAGGTGTCTTTCCCAGCTTAGAGTACAGCTTCAGACTACAGACCCCCGCCCAGGAAGAGACGTACTTCTCACTCTCTCCCAGCCACTTGGACATGAGGTCTGAGGAGGAGACGGAGAAGAAGGTGGAGTTGTTGGCCTCTGTGGCCACAGCCTTAGCCAGGTACGACTTCCCCGTGCCTGGGGGGCCAAACAACAGGATGCCTCTCCACGGGGTCCGCTTGCCTGAGATCAGAAGACATGTTGGTCATGAGAGGGAACTATCTAACAGAGGTAATGATAAAATACTATTTGACAGCCTTGAAGAACATCTAAAGTGAATTACATAATTCTATTACATCAAGCTGATATCCTGATATCCGCTCTGATATTAATGTTCATTTTTGAATGTAATAACTCTGCCATCCTTCTCACCTTTTGGATCATTGTATGTGTCAGTGTGTACCTGTGAAGAGGTGAGGGAACTTGATGGGCAGGATGACGGCTTCCTTCAGAGCCTCCTTGGCTCCCTCCAGTCCGGCCACGTCGCTCCACCTGACGTTGGGCTTCTCCATGACGATGGCCCCTGCACACAGCAGACAGAAACTCTTTAGAGGTGAACTTACACCAGCAGCTGTCTAACATGGACGCTTTTTGGTATCTATGGAGCTAAATACTGGCCAAAAGTTTTGATCATTTGAAAAAATTAAGATAATCTGAAAGTTTTGATCCTGAAATTTTAAAAATAAGATGATGGATCCAAACTAATAATAGGTGTATGAAAAGTTTTTCAGTTAGTAGTAATTATTTGGAATAAACTGTGTATTCTTTCACATTTCCCTTTTTTTTATAGATTCTGTTTCTTTAGTTCTTCTTATTTTCAGCTGCAGATTTTATACTTTCAGATTCAGAACTATTATTTCATATTTTCAAATGTAATTCTTCAGTTTCAGATGTCAGATCTTTAGATCGTATTTCTTAACTTTCAGACTTTTGGCCCAGATGTGGGAGGCGGGCCTTAACTGCAGGGTTAAGGGGTTTGAATCATGAGTGACAGCAAATTAAAGCTGAAGCCCTTTCTCAGCCATGTTGCCTTCAGGGATGGTAGGAACTAGTGAGCTCTTTTGGTTCGTAATAGGAAACAATCATATATGTCATCAACACTCAAGAAACACTGTTTGGTTATTAAATTAAACAAATAACCATATTGTATCAGTGTAATTGAAAGTAACTTCTATAAGAACCTCTCATAACTCATCTTATAGACTTCTCTTTAGACACTCAAAATGTCAAGTCACATGACAACAGATCACCAATAAAACCACTAGACCAGTGCTCAACTTTTTTTTTTTGGGGGAAAAAAGTCCAACTTTTATTTTGAAGGCCCGCTGTGCATGCAGTAGGCGTTGGACTGGAAGTACTGGAGACCATACACGGTTTTGAAAACTTCTGTCACGTAGTGATCATCTTCTCAATAAAACATCTTTGCTGATGTTTTTTCGAGTCTTCTGGCCAATCAGAATCAAGATTGTTGCCGGAAGTCCCCACGGAGAATAACTTTGCGGTAGAACTGTTCTTTATACATCCATGGGTACAACTTCAGATACAAATGAACACATAATGAAATATGACCCCCGGTTTGATGATTGACAGGTCACAGAACAATGGGAGCTACCTACCCTTACCCACAATTTAAAGTAATTCACACAGACTCTCTCCTCTTTGCTCTTCTCTCTGTGTGGAGCAGCAAGTTCAGCTGTCAGAACAAAGTGAAAAACAAACAATGGCATCAAATATTATTAATATGTCGGGTAGTAATACATTTATTTATTTTCTTCTCAGAGTGTACCAGAATGCGTAGTTTATATGTTAGTATTTCTAAAAATCTCCTGGGGTTGGGTTTTCAGCATGTGATACAGTTCAGCTTTGATTCCATCATCTCATTAGCATACTCTACAGGAGGGGTAACATGAGTGTTTCAAACTAAACGATGCAAGCTTGATACACGCTTCACTGGATTACTCGAACCACGCTCCAAGCCTCGGCGCAGTACGTAACATCACAACTAATCGTATCCCTGTCCTGTACATATTCGTGTTTTTAATGGTATGCTTATTCTTCCTAACTCATCACGGCTTCTCGTACGTATGCTTCAAGTTGCAATGCTTCTTTCAGAGGTTTCACTCCATGCAAGATCAGGGGTAGGGAGATCAGACCCTATAACACAAGCCCCAGCAGCTCATTCCAGCTAACAGGAGCCATACTCCATGCCAGTGGTTCCCAAACTTTTTGTGCCCAAGGCACACCAAAGGACAAGTACAAATCTCAAGGCACACCTATTGTGCAAAATAGCCCTTATAACACGTGTTATCACTCATATCATGTAAAATATCTGTAAATGTGCATAATTATTTACTAATGCCAAATAAAATGTGACAAAGACAACTATATTACTCATGAAATATTTATTAACGAAATATTTCAGAAATTAAATTTGAAACTTTATCAAATTAGGCTTCATCAAAGCAGCAACACACTCATTTAAACCAAACAGGTCACAAAATTAAAAATGAGGCAAAGACTCAGCAGAAATTCAGCACAGAGAACTGTCAATGCAAGGAAGCTGCACTGTCCATGGGCCTGAACTACAAATTATAAATGTAACATTTCAGCAATCAGCATTGAAACATGTGCTATTGTAAATATTTTGCCGATTTACAAATTAGTGAGATACATGTGCCTGTCGGGGCGCGCAGATTTTTTTAATCCTTGGTGGCACTGAGGAGAGGGCCACTCGCAAGTCCTGTTCAACAGAGAGCCGTGACCTCCTGTTGTTCTTCATGTAAACCAGAGTAGAGAACCGAATCTTGTCTGTGGATGATAAAATGTTTTCATTCCTGCCCTGAAGCTTGGCGTTTAACTCGTTGAGATGCCCAAATATGTCTGCGAGGTAAGCCAGCCTGGCGCACCTTTCATCCGCGAGCTTGTCTTTATGTGGGACAGCGTGTTCACGTGAAAACTCCAAAAGCTCTTCCCGAAGCTCATAAAGACGGGATAGGACTTTCCCCCGTGACAGCCAACGTACCTCTGTGTGGAGGATCAGGCTTTGGTGGTCGGCTCCCATCTCGGCGCACAGCTGGGAGAAGAGGCGAGATTTCAGGGGCCTTGATTTGATGTAATTCACCATCTTCTCCCGTAGTATGGCTTTCCATTTCTTTGCAGAAGAAAAACGTCTCTTTGATAGAGTCAGCATCAACATATCTGACGTTTGCCAGAAGTTGGGCAGCCAGTATGTCAGTAGATTCGTCTATTTGTAGGGAAAATCTGCCGCTCGCCTGCAGTGCCATAAGACCGGTAACTTTCATGATACAGTCTGCTGACAGTTTTTTTCCTCTTTTCTTTCGGTGGTGGGTTGTCGGCAGTCTCTGCACTGGTGGTTGGTGGTTTGCTCCACACAAGAAAGCGCTCCATTTTCCCTCTTGCGTGTTTCTCTGTTTTAATGTTGTCCTTCAGCCTTCGATGTGTCACGGTCTTATAATTCCCACCTGCAACTGCGTTAACAGCGAAATATGGGGTTCTGTGAGGATTTTTTTTTTAAAGAATTGTTTTTAGGTATAGAGTTTGCCTCTGTATTATGAAATGAGTGCATACAAAGTACTGATATAGTAAATTAAAAAATAATTATTTTTTGTGTAATTGTATATTGCAATAATAACGTATGGTTGTCACAAAATCCCACGGCACACCCGGACTTGCCTCACGGCACACCGTTTGGGAACCACTGCTCCATGCAACATAAGCAGCAGCTCAGCCGAGCTAACAGGAGTTCCACTCCATGCAAAACAAATATTGCTAATAAAATCAAGCACTAACGTTGGGGAGTATGCATCCCCAACGTGGCCCAAAGTTCTCTCGTTAATATCAGGTTAGTAGTATCCCATCAGTAAACACATGCGGGCCGGGAGAAGCTCTCCCTAAACACGGCTCAACTTCATTGTCAGTAAGACCAGGCCAGAGAACACTTAACAGATACGTCAGCAGCACCTCATACTGGCCGCAGCTCACTTCATTCTAACTGGTTTCCTTCTCTCTCACTGCATATTTTCTGTCTAACCCTCGTCATGTTTTCCATAGACTCGCCGCATCATACAAGGTAAGGTATATCACGTTCAGTGCAGCTCTACTATTGTAAACACCTCACGGATATTATCGTAATGATTCATTGCATCGATCATTCATCATTCATTGTTGGGGGTTTTTCTTTCCTAATAGGCTTCTCCTCCCCTAAATCATCACAGCATGATGGGGTCTAATCTCCAACATATATATTTCCCCTTGTTCACACGGCAATACATATGTTTTACACTAACAAACTAAGTTCTCTGATGAATGAAATCAGAGAACTCTTTCTTTCAATGTCTCCCCTGTCAGCGTTGTCAGACAATACAAGCGAACAGGAGTTCACTTCATGCATCATGATCATCATAGAAGTCAGGGAACTTCTTTCTCAGCTAATGTCCAGTAGAGTTGGGTGACTCCTGATTCATCCGGATCTTAACCTGGACCCTAGTATGACCTGGGAGTGACGAGTCTCCCCTCTCATTAACCAGAGTCTTGAGTCCTACACCCGGTGATGTACAAATTAAAACTATAATTGCGTCTCTCGCTACTCTCCCGATAACATGTAAATAACTTTACAGCGTACCCCAGTCCATCTGCCTAGCTTTAGCAGTAGGATAGCTGCAGACATTATTGTTTGATTCAGGGGATGCAGATCAGTGAACTCCGCGGACTCAGAACCGTAACCGTAGCAGATCCAGACTCATCATACAGTACACGAGTCAACAGCAGACTCAGATTCGCTAATCCTGACTGAATCAAGGTAACTTCCTTCACTAACAAAGCAGACTCTGAATTTGAGCGACGAGTGAGTCAGCGGAACTCAGACACAGATTCGGTGAGCGGACCGAATGAGCGGATTGCTCCACACAGCGCGAAACAGCAAACTCGTTGGTTGGTCTCGTTTGGATTTCAGACTCAGTGAGCGTCAGCTGTTCGTGATAACGCATTCTGTACACAGATCATTGACGATTTCACAGTCAAGTCTAAGAAGCCAAATCCAGCAATTAAGACACAAACATTGTCAGATCATGTTTGTGTAGCGGAGGTTAATGTAACGTTGGTTTAATATGCTTGTGAAATGCAAATATCAGTGGCAAATTACAATACACAAACAGTGGACTGCCGCCCTCACTAGTTGCTCTATATGTATGTTTGAAGTTGGAGACTATGAGCTCCTGTCTCACCGGTAGGATCCTACGCTCTTGGCGATGCTGACTCATATGACTCAAAGGACTCGTATGATCCGGATCTCTTCGATGACTAACTCAGAAGACCTCGAGTCAGTAAAAGGATCCGGATTAGCTATCTTCATGTCCAGCAGCCTTCATACACGGCTGTAGTTCAAGATCTTATCTATATTATTTATATACTTTCTGCCTCTCACTGCATAAGTCTCTGTCTAACTCTCGATGAATCATTTCATCAGATTTCTTGCCATCATGTAGGTAAGGTCCTACGTTCATTTACAAGGCTTGTTCCACTCTGGTAAACCACTGGCTCACCTCACTAATGTATTTTCTCGTATCATCATATGATCAACATTTACTATTTCGAGGGGTTCACCTTTCCTAGCCATCTCCTCCTCTCTTTTAATCATCGAGTCACATGGGGTCTAATCGCAAGTATTAAGATAGTTAATACTCCAGCAGAGAGAGCGAAGGATCGGCGGGCCGGAGCTTATTACTGTCATAATAGTCACCGACCGGTCAAGCTCTCAGCTTCTCCGTATCAAGCTCTATGCCGACTACTTTCTCTGCCTCACTTTGACGCATGTATTATTTGCTTGTTCGCATTGTCTCTATTCTCGTCTTATTCTCAATCATGTCTCAGCAGAATCCACGCTGTGCTGGACTATGGTGATCTGCTTTATACGAATGCACTGCCCTTTACCTGAACAAGTTAGATGCCGCCTATCACAGTGCACCGAGATTTGTTACTAATCGTAAAGCACTGACTCATCACTGTACCCCGTAATAAGCTATTGCCTGTTATCACATGATGTGGTTTTGTTACATGTGCCGAGTGCAAGGACTGTCTTCGGTACGAAAGCTTTTACTTGCGCAGCTCCCCTTGCTTGGAACAGTCTTCAAAAAGATTGAAACTGAGCAATTTGGTCCACTGCATGTTTTTAAAGCTTGGATAGGTGCAATGCTATTTGATACTGTTGGTACTTGTCATGTCGATAGGTATGTAAATGTGGCCCTGTAAATATGATGTATGATGTCCTTTATTGTTTTCTGTCGTTCATGTTTTCATGTCGTAACCTACTTGCTGCAGGTCTCCCTTGGAAAAGAGATCGAGGATCTCAATGGGACCACCTGGTTGAATAAAGGTTTGAAATTAAATGAAATGCCACCTGGTAAGTTAAGATCCTTCGTCAAGTGGCCCGATCTCCTTCTCTCATTCACTTTCCTCCTTTTTGGGGGTTCCCTATATGCTCACGGCTGCATTTCCCCTTTAGATATACGATTTCAGGATCGGGGTCTAATCCCCAAAGACTTAACATTTATCATATGACATGTGTCAATAAATGTTCTTTAAACTAAATGAAGTCTCTCCTGATTTAACTGGCTAGGAAACAGGCATAAGAAAGGACCTCTCGGTCGTTTACTGAAGGACATTCGGGTCATGTTTCCCTGATTGAACCACCAAGAGCTCACCGACTTCAGATATGAAGAAGATGGACGTTTCAAGATAGCCCCTGTTCATGCCTCACATCTATTATCATTACATATGAGTCAGGAGTTTTTTTCTGAAAGATAAATCCCTGATGATCTATACGCAAGTCATTTCAGTGCATTTGATCTGTTGTGGTCAAGTAAAAATCACAAATAATTCAACAATATAAACATGGTATGATTTACTATTAACTTACTATTGCCATGTATCTTGTGTCTTTGCCGAAAAATGTTATTGCTTTCTTATGTGACATATGTGAAAATGTGATCTTGTTGGCTTTGGATTATAAATTAAAGTTTGTTAATATTATGAATGAGTTATCTGAAATGGTTTGTGAGCTTTAAGATAATACTGTATGATACATAAAAAAAAGTCCTAACTAAATAATTGATAATTGAAATTAAGTCCAAAATGATGATCTAATTTGCATTTGTAATATTGCCAAATACATGATGCCTAAATAGACATAAGGGCAGACTTTATTTGAGGGATCACAAAGATGATTGATGCATGAGCACCAAATGGTTAATAAAGGTGATTTCACATAGGCCATTCATCATATGTTATTTATCAGTGTCAACGACGGAACAGGTCACCACTTTATTTGAAGGGGCACAAACATGATGAAGTATGCTTAGTCCATCATGATTACAACACTTGGAATTGCTGTGACTGGTCAGTTTTGGAAGAAGACATGAACATCATTAATAAATCAGAAGTCATGATGATTGAGAGACCTTAGTTGATGCATTCATTAAGGTATTGTTCCTGCATTAAGTCATGCATGAGATACTATTAATCCTTGTACATTACTGATAGTTCATGAAGTACTACATGAATGAATTCATGCTTTTTCATGCATTAAGTCATGCATGAATTCATGATGATTCATGTACCCTTACCATAAAGTGTTACCAAATATATATCCCAAAATCAAGTATATTTCAATTGTATCAGTGGACTACGCTGATACAATATGATATATGGTTGTCAAACATCTTATGAACCTGTGAGGAATATTTGCAGCCTTCACATTTACTCACCCATCAGTTGCTCTTGCAGCTTCTTCTTCTCTGGATTCTCCCCCTCGCTGTCACTATCACTCCTACAGACACACAGAGGTGAATCAAACACAGTGGATCACACAGATTTGAACATGTTTCAGGGCAGGAAGCGTACACACTTGTCATTGCTCTGAGCCTCCTTGACGGGCTTCTTGCCCTGCTTGTCTTTATTCCTCAGATAGTCTTTGAGTTTCTCCGCTCGGTCCAGGTACTGCATACACTTTGCTCGTAAGCTCTCCTTTGCCTTGTCACTGTGGGCCTCATCTGAGGAAATGACAACAATAATGTGAATGAAACATTGTAACAACAGAAGGGTATCAAGCCAATTCAAGTGTTCTTCCGGCTGCTTTACTCACATTTGATGGCATGTAGGAAATATTCCACAGCATGCTGGTACAGTCGCAAGGCCTCCTCATAATTCTTCGCCTTGTCTTCCTCTGTGGCTTTGGTCACAAGATCAATCGCTTTCTGGAACAGATGGACAGAAATACAGTCAGAGGACAGATGTAGGCCTCACATGGGTTGGGGTGGACACAGAAATAAAGGAAAGGAACACAGTGTCATTCTCACATTCAACACTGGAGCTTCAACTGAACAAAGCACAATATATACAACTGAAGTCTCTCTCTCAGTCTACAAAAATAACCCACTATTCCTCACCTGATCTGCGGTATGGCTTCTTTAGAACCCATAAACCACCAGTGGCTTTGACATAAGTTAGCAATCCACAATTTAAAACCCCTCCCTATGATTAATAATAGTATTATTGTATAGTAGTTAACTGGTACAGTAACGTTAACGTTTGAGGTTGTTAAGGCTCATGTTTTGGAACAATTTAATGGAGGAACTGTTGACTCAGTTAACTACACCCACAACATCAGCGGGCTTTAGCGTCAGCTGTTTTGCTAGAAGGTTAGCTTACATTGAAGTTACTGTATTGTATTGATGTCCAGTGCAAGATAACTGTACTGGCTAACGGTACTGGCTAACGGTACCTGTAATGTTGACGTTGTCATTTCATCTCCCTCTTGTGCTCGCCTCTGACGTTTCTATCCTCTTGCCCTACTCCAAAGGCGGATATGTGAATACATGAATTCGTTAACAGCCCTGTGTTGTGTCGGTACCGACTGTTCTTTACATGACAAACAGAGGCTAATACGTTAGCTTGCTAAGCTAATATGACAGCTCTGCATCGACCCGACACAACCACAAGCTAGCTGATGGAGACAACTTCCGGTTACACCTTATAAAATACAACTTTAAATGACTAGCTTATGTACTAAAATATCACACATTCACCAACCACATCAATATAACAATTGTATGGATAGGGTGTTGCTAATTGTAATTTCATTACATTTTTATATTTTGACATTCTTAATCATTTATATATTTTACTGCTAAATATAACAAATTGAGAAAATGGAAAATACATTATGCCATGTTACATGTACAGCCTACATATATATATTTACCTTACAAATACCTATAGGCCTATATATATATATATATATATATATATATATATATATATATATATATAGGGGAGAAGGGGGTAAGTTGAGCCAGTGGGTAAGTTGAACCACCTCCATGTAACCAGGCAACGCCTTATAGTTGTAATCACGTGACCAGAAATTATGCAAGCTCCTCCCATTTCTCATTGCCTGTGAAAGAGAGATGCTCATTGTGGTCTGGTAAGTAAAGTTTTTTACAAAAAAACGTTTTTTGCTTGTCAAAGTAAATTTTCTAGATGTCAGCTATATCGGCTGTCATGTCAAAAAAAATGTATCCAGGTTTAAACAAATATATTGTATATGTTGATGTGTTAGCAGCGTATTAAACCATGTGAGTCATTAAGCTAAAGATGACTCTGAATTTTAATGCTAGGCTATTTTTTCTAAAATGGTGGCTATGGGGTAAAGTGAACCGTGGGCCTTGGGGTAAGTTGAGCCAGTTTTTCAATGGAGAAATTAATGAAAGTAGGCCAAGTTGATAATTAGAGCTCATTGTAGGCTACATTTAAAGTTGAATTTACCCTGTGTTTGATTGGTAAGATGTATGAAATTGTATCACCATTTGTATGATTACTTTTCCTTTTAACATGTTAAAAAAAAATCAATCAATTCAATTGAAATTTATATAAAAAATATTTGAAAAACTAAACTTGTATTTGGTTTGTTATTTATTGTTTAAAGTTACCTTTAAGATTTTTTGTAGGTATGCCCAGGTTTGAACAGGTATGCCCAAGTTTGAACAGTGGTTCAATTTACCCCCTGACCTGGATCAACTTACCCCTAACCTGGGGCAAGTTGAGCCACAAAACTTTTTTTTTTTTAGAAGTAATATTTTCGCTGCCCTTGATCAAATATGAATTCTTATCATTGTCATTGATAGGAGACATCCTGAATTATAGTTGTGTGCTTTCATTTTTACTATGTGTCATTTCTCCTTGCTTAGAGGACAGCATAACTAAAAAATGGCTCAACTTACCCCACTCTCCCCTACATATACTCTATACATTATATAGTTGTTGAGCACATTTTTTCAATATTACATACACATTTACACGTAACAAAAAAAATGTGTGAAATATATCCGAAAATACTACACAATACTATGGGCTATATATCCCACAATCATGTAGATTTCTCTAGTTTCAGATGTTGATACATTCTCAGCTTCTTGTTAACGGTTCACAGCCTGTAGTCCACAAGATGGCAGGAGAGCTCCTAACAAAGGTGTAGTTCTGGTGGAAATGTTACGACCAGAATCATGCTAACACAATTTAAAAGCATAATGTTGAGATTTGTATACGTTTTATACTTTTTTTTTTTACAGCATTCAAAAACTTGCACTTGCAAGACCTTATGAAAACATAGAGCTAAAAGATAAGATATTAAAAATATGTGGTACATGTTGAGATGTCATTTCTTAATGAATATCACTTCTGGTCAGCTGTGAATTTGTCAGTGTTTATCTAACACTTTGGAGGATAATAACATGAAAACAGGAAAATGAAAGGTGAAATGCATACATCTGGTGCACTTTGAGGGCAAAATAAGAGACTAAATCTAGAGGACACAACCCTTGGTCATTGTTAGTTGTGACTTTGCTGGTGCTCTTCCACCTTTGTCTGGGCTTTAAAAAACATGTGCACCCAAACCCAGTAAAACAATCAATAAGTAAAATGACATGTTAATATTGAATAAATTATAAATGTAAAACCAATGTCCAAATCATAAAAACAAACCACACAGAAATGTCTGTAATTTGTAACAGTTTTATTGGTAGTTTTTTTTACATTTGTGATTATTACATTGCTTATTACATTATAGGCTATAAGTATCTTGGAAGGAAGTCTAAAATACTTTGCATATGACGGGTTGAGGCAGCAGCACTTTATTCTGCAGAGACCCCTCAGTTCAATGATTGTGTTGGACGCAAGCTGCCACAAAAACTACCTTTGGTTCAAAACCCTTTCTTTGAAGCGTTGCATTGCATAGACAGGAGCCACAATCACAGAAAGGAGGTGAACATCATCATGTGGAAGCAGAGGAGAGGTGTACATTCACAGATTTAAAGACAGGTTAGTGCACCGAGTTTAAAGAGGGACGGCCTGTCGCTTGTTGAAGGTTGACCAAGTTAAGACAATCAGATCTGTGCGGTGGGTTAGAGGACAGGACTAACATGGAGTAAAAGGTGTGGTGGGGAAGGATGGAGAGCAACACAGGAACAACACTTTCTGTCAGGCCGGATCTATATGGAACACATGAGGGGAAGTGAAGCCTGCCAGTCTTTATCACAGCCGACACTGAAGAAACCAAAACTTTGACTTTAATTAAATGTATTATGTCAACAGATTTACAAGGTTAAAAAGCCATAATATTAAGTTGAACTTATTTAAACTTAATATTATTGCCTTCACTAACTTAATACAGTTATGTGAAATCTGTTGACATAATAGATTTTATTAATGTCAATGTTTCAGTTTGTTTTATGCATTTACTATAGAATGAAAAAAGTGTCCAAACCATCACAAGGACACTGTCCCAAACAGAATGAAGGTCGTACAGACTGTGACTGTGTTCCTTATCCGAGGACAGACGGGATATCTGGTTCTGTGTTGCACGATGAGAGGAAACAATGGGACATTGTTAGAGGCCCAAAGAACAGAGGCTCTACTGAAGGGAAGGCTCGCTTCAGGAACACGCACCATGAACAGCTGAAGGTTATGGAAATGTCTACATTACAGTCACGTGGAGCTCATTGACGAGCCAACCTTCATTTGTAGAGACTGAAGTCATAATTGCTTGGGCATAGTAGATTAGCAAATAACATTAACCCTAGGTCCATTTAGTGGCTTTATCCAGAGCTTTCAACTGCATCTGATGCTCTTCATCAATCGATTGAGTTTGCTCAGTGCTCGTCACATGACTTCACTCACACTCCATCTAAACAACAGCACTAAATCGGTGCATGCCTAACATCACTTTCTCTCACACCAACTCTGCATTTTTCCAGGCAATAAAAATGCATACTAAAAAACAGCAAGACCTGAACGAACAGCACCAGGGCCTGAGTTGATCATGCCACTGAAAGTGACATTTTGGATTTAAGTGAAAGAAAAAAGTAAAACATTTTTCAGTTTTACTCCTACTAGCAAACAAGGCCGAACATTACTCTTCCACGTGAGAGAGCTAAGTGGTTCAAGGTGGATTTTTGACGGCTGCAGTACATACACAATAGATCTTTTGGAATAAGCAACATTAAAATATGTTATTAACACATATCATTCTGAATAGGGTTCTTCTAGAATATGCCGGGCATTTATTTCATATGATACAAAAGGTTCTACATGATCTGATGCAACTCAAACACCAGTATTTGTTCTGCTTCAGAAAGTTTGTTTTTCATTGTTTCGAATTCAACTTCCTACTATTTTAACCCTTTATTTGGATAATATGAAATATTATTATAGTAGTATTGTCATTATTAAAACATTACATATGTTTTTAAAGGATAAGATTCTGTATAGCTGCTTTAAATGTAATACGTTTAGTAAAAGACTAAACAATACAGAAGATTTAAGGTAAATCCTTGTCTTTGATCGGCTGCTCTTTGCAGGGGCGGTTCTAGGGGGGGGGGGGCTCACAGGGGCCAGTGCCCTTATAACACTGGGCTTGGACCACCCTGGGCCCCCCCTCTGAAAAAAGAGTCTATTATAAAACCAATGGTGATGGTGCAAAGACTGTGCTTTAACTTGAGCCGAAGTTACCATGGATGTGTTTTGTTTTCATAAATGCCATTTAATAACATTGTAACTAAGCTACTGAAACAAATATGATTCATAATAGTTGATGTTGTGTTCAATGTCATTATACTGAACCAAAATGTTGAAATCTTAAACACTCTCTTTGTGTTTTTGTCCTGCATTAAATGTGCTCTTTAAATGACCGGGCCCAGCATGGCCCCCCCCCCCCCCCCCCCCCCAGTACAATTGGTCTAGAACCGCCTCTTTGTATCATTGTGATGATTTCTGTGATCAGCTGATCTTAAAGGTTACTGCTACACTGGAAGCAGATGGATGACAGATGAGGCCATGAAAGCTCCAGAAGAAGGCAAGTCAGTGGACCAAGAGTAAAACATATATTTGTAAAAAACATTTCAGACAGCAAATGAAAAGGAATGTAAAACAAAGCGCGTGTATACTGACTGCAGTGATTCCTTGGTCAGAGAAACACTGCTTTAGGCAGGTAACAAGGGACCAGGAAACTCAAGAGAAATGGAATGAGATGACAGGGACATGACGTGGCAGCAAAGGTCAAAAAGGGGGGGGGGGACACATGTTCAGATGTCATCATCTGATACAGAGTTTAATGTCATGCTTATCATAAGACTTTAAAAACAACATCAAAAGTAACACGGTTACACTATAAGAGTAATACTATAGCTCGGCCATGTCCAAAGCTTCAAACTCTCTCACTGTGTGAATAAAAAATACTTTACAAAGAGTGTAACTACGTATAGGAAGGCACTGTTGGCACTTGATTACAACAGTAGGTTAGGATAATGTGCTAGAAGGTGCCGTCAGACACACACACACACACACACACACACACACACACACACACACACACACACACACACACACACACACACACACACACACACACACACACACACACACACACACACACACACACACACACACACACACACACACACACACACACACACACACACACACACACTCTCTGATCAGTTAACTGCATTCTGACTCTAAATCAGCGTCTCACACTCACAAAGACTAACAGATTAGAGCCCTGAACATTGGAAGGCTGTGGTGGAATGAAAGGCAGAGAGTAAAACAGGGAGCTTTCACCAGGCTGTGCTTGGTTCTGTGCTTATTGTCTAACAAAATGTCCATCCCTTCATATAAATAACACTTTGCTTGAAGTGCACTGGTAGTGGAATCTCATGAGCACATCACAGCGTCGTAGCTTGGAATAAAAGTGAATGCATCATCACGTGGAATGATTTTCAAAAGCCTGTTTTGTCTCTCATCACTTCAAGCAAAGTGCCACTTCCTTTTATCTGCAAAACAAATGATTCCAGAGGCCGAGGAGATGTTTGAACAGAAGGCACAATTCTGAGACAATCAACACTTGTGGTCTAATCTCCCTCACTCCAAAGCTTCAGCTCTGAATGGAGGAGTCGGAAAAAGAAACTAAAAGAAAAGTATCAGCATTTACGGAGCGTCTCCTCGCTGCTGCTGTCTCCTCGCTGCTGCTGTCTCCTCGCTGCTGCTGTCTCCTGTCTCCTCGCTGCTGCTGTCTCCTGTCTCCTCGCTGCTGCTGTCTCACGTCAGGAGGCCCATACGAGTGAGCTTCGCTGACAGGAAGGAGTGGAGGACAAATACCACCGGCTTGGGACCTGAGTGGAGGTCAAACACCTGGAGGAGAGGAGAGGGGGGGGGAGGAGGGGAGAGGAGGAGAGGAGGAGAGGGGGAGAGGAGAGGGGAGAGGAGGAGAGGAGGAGAGGAGAGAGGAGAGGAGGAAAGGAGGAGAGGGGAGAGGAGGAGAGGAGGAGAGGAGGGGAGAGAGGAGAGGAGGAAAGGAGAGGAGGGGAGAGGAGGAGAGGAGAGCAGAAGAGGAGAGGAGAGAGGGGAGGTGAGGAGAGGAGGGGAGAGAGGAGAGGAGGAAAGGAGAGGAGGGGAGGGAGGAGAGGAGAGGAAAGGAGAGGAGGGGAGGGAGGAGAGGAGAGGAGGGAGGAGAAGAAAAAAATCAGTTTCCATTTTCTATTCTGAGATATACAACATATTTTTTATTCCACGCTGTCGTCTTTTGAAACGTGGCCCCGACGTTACCCACAATGCAACAGTTCATTGAAGATGTGTTATGATGAGTCATTTTAGGTGTCAGGGTGCATCTCTCAGGACTGATGTTTGAAACTGTTGGAGTTCCCCTTCAACTGTAATTAACACACAGACTAAAGTTTTCACTAGAATCTTTCCATTAGAATCCATTCGCTAGAATAAGATTCTATTGCACACCATTTGACGCTAATGACATTAAAAGACTATTGATTTATACATTTCAAAATGTAGAAATTCATTAGCATTCTTTTTACATTTAAGTTCAAACCATGGTCAAGGTGAATATAAAAATGTTGAAAAGTTGAAAAAGCTTTGAAATGTGATTGTGACAGTTTAGCGCACAGTAAACATGTACTGTATAAAGCTCGCCACAAAGACAGAAGGAGCATGGTTTTCCATCAACTACTATAATAACGTTAGAAATAATAAATAAAGACATTGATTGGTGGAACAGATTAAATATTATTCTACATATTGAATCATTCTAATGTATTTCCCCTCATCCATGGTCACATCGTTAAGTCATTAATGTTACACCAAAGCGTTTGCACTGCAATGTGACGCGGATAAAACAGTAGACGCTACTTTTGCTAAAAGAAAGTTGGAATGAATGAAGTACAACACAGTAATTATAGTAAACGCAGTGGGGTCCGAGACACAACTCAGAGAAGTTCAGATGCTTTTCATAAAATAAAGCAGAAGATCCACACTCTCATTTGTTGACTGATCAGTGCAGACCTATTTACTGATGTTCCTGCTTTGCCATATTTTGAGTGGAATTTGTTAATGCTAAATTAGACTGGTTACATAACCTTGGAAATGCCCAAAACGTAACCGTGCGCTCTGGTACGTTAACAGATAGCACATTCCCTCGAGGAGCTGTATGTCTGGATCATTCAGACCGAGGTCTTACTGCCAGCTCCTGATGAGTGTGTCTAATGTCGGAGTAAGTGTGGATGATTCTTTATGGAAGAAAAAAACGAAATAAATGTAAATGGAGAGAATACCAGATTTGGAAGTTTCTGTCAGTAAGGGCAGATGCTAAAATTGTCAAACAAATTCAAGGCAAGAAATTATTTCAGTTGTTTTTGACCAAGTTTAGCAGCTGGCTGCGTGACAGCGGTATATTCTGGGAAATGCCGTGCCTCCTGAACAATCTACGTCTGTAGGCTCAATCAAATCTGAGTATTTCCAGTGAGACAGTTCTGACAGTTCTGTTTAAAGGAATGTTGTGCGGGCAGACATTACCCAGAGTTCCTATCAGGAAACAGCTAACATCTTATTCTTTTGTCTCACCATCTCTCCCTCTGGGCCTCCAAAGTCCAGGTAGAGGTTGCGTATTCCATCGTCTGCGGACATCCGGAGCTTCTCGTAGGGGTACCTGAAGAGCACGGCCCCCCCTGCTGGGTCCACCTGCTCCCTGGTCACAGTGAAGCCCTTCTCGTAGTGCAGCGTCAGACGCACATCCTGCCGGCTCAAGGTGCAGCCTGGAGAGAGAGATTTACAATTGTATTGTTGTAAAAACGTAGAAAAGCGCTTTATAAAGGAAAAGTATTATTATAAGAACAGCAGGTGTGAGTGCACGTTAAGGTGCAGCCTTCATGTACGCTGAGTAATATTACGGCGAGCATGAAGCGGTGGACGCGGCGCGAATCAAGCGATTGAGGCGATTGAGGCGATTGAACGGTGCCGAGAATTCAATTTTTTCAACTCGAGCGTCAAATTCACGTGGCGCGTTCTCTCGGAAGCCAATCAGCGGTGAGGATCTCCGCCGCCGTCACTGACGTTCAACCAGAAAACATCAGCCGTTAGCTGTTAGCAGTTAGCACTCAGAGCTCACAGCTCCTCATATCTGTTCAGAAACTGGACAAAAGTTAAACAAGTACAAACCACAGACTGCCTGTGTCATGGCGAATACAGTCGCTGGTTTATTTATGTCTGTAGGCCGTTGTTGTGAGTGTGGACGGAGCATATACAACGTTAGCTTAGCCTAGTCGACCCGATCTTCATTCAGAAAACAAGCATTTTAAAAGGTTTTTCGCCTGCCGTCTGTCTGCAGACTTGTCAAAGCATTAATTCATGGTTTTTACTAACCGGTATCAGTATGTTGTTACTTCGGCATAATTTAGAAACGTGTATTACAATTTAATCACGGTAAAATATGTTCATTTTGTTGTAGTTGTAGCCCCCTAGCCAGCGCGTCTTGTTTGAATGATGCGAGTAAACACAGCTGGCAGCCGCGGTGAAACTCAAGCATTTAGAGCGATGCGATAGGAGCGATTATGCTGCGTTCACACCGGACGCGATGCGATGTTTGGGGGCGGCGCGATTACATGTAAAGTCAATGCAGAGACGCGGACAGACGCGAATTCGCTCCGACGGCGAGCATGAAGCGGTGGACGCGGCGTGAATCACGCGATTGAGGCGATTGAACGGTGCCGCATTAAACGCGAGAGTTCAATTTTTTCAACTCGAGCGTCAAATTCACGTGACGCGTTCTCGCGGAAGCCAATCAGCGGTGAGGATCTCAGCCTGCCGTCACTGACGTTCAACCAGAAAACATCAGCCGTTAGCCGTTAGCAGTTAGCACACAGAGCTCACAGCTCCTCATATCTGTTCAGAAACTAGACAAAAGTTAAAGAAGTACAAACCACAGACTGTCTGTATCATGTCGAATACAGTCGCTGCTTTATTTATGTCTGTAGGCCGTTGTTATGAGTGTGGAATACAACGTTAGCTTAGCCTGGTCGACACGATCTTCATTCAGAAAACAAGCATTTTAAAAGGTGTTTCGCCTGCCGTCTGTCTGCAGACTTGTCAAAGCATTAATTCATGGTTTTTACTAACCGGTATCAGTATGTTGTTACTTCGGCATCATTTAGAAACGGGTATTACAATTAAATCACGGTAAAATATGTCATTCTTGTTGTAGTTGTAGCTCCCGAGCCAGCGCGTCTTGTTTGAATGATGCGAGTAAACACAGCTGGCAGCCGCGGTGAAACTCGAGCGTTTAGAGCGATGCGATAGGAGCGATTAGAGCGAAGCGAATATTCGCATCGCGTCCGGTGTGAACGCAGCATTAGTTATAAGAGGTATTTGATTGGATAATGGCAGCAGCCAGCAGCAAAAAGGAAACATGGGAAAGAAGTGAGTTGCAGCTGACCTGAAGTTTTCTGGGAGCTTGTTCCAAAAAATGTGGAGCATAATAACTGCCATGTGTTGACAGCAGACTAAATGTCTTCCTCTCAATCTCTGGAAGTATGCTATTAATATACAAGTGAATGTTGTCGCCTCAATAATCATACAAATAAATGAATCTACAGCATCTGAGTGGACTCTGGGTGGGTTGTTCCTCTTTGTTGCAGAAGTTTAAAGTATCTTGAATATAAAAGTCCTGCCTGGTGCAGATTCAACTGGGACGTTATTTGATCATAGAGCATTTCCATGTGTATCACTGTTACTTCTTCCTGTACAACTGTAGCAGGACAGAGAAGAAACAGACAAAGGGAGAAAGGCCAGCTGCTGGTTCAGCACAGAGGAAGCATTCCCCTCTGCTGGACCCACTTCTGCTTTCCACAGAGAAGCTCAGGAGCTTCCTCTCACTGAGCTTTAAAGGCATATATACATGAACACATTGTATCTGTGCTCCACATTTTCTCTAGAAAACTCTTTTCCACTTGACATTACTCATGGCCTGATGCTTTCATGCACAGAGATGAAGGTGGGTGAAGGTCTGTTTCACACTCTACACACACACACACACACACACACACACACACACACACACACACACACACACACACACACACACACACACACACACACACACACACACACACACACACACACACACACACACACACACACACACCTGTTTACTGGGGACGGAATGACCTTAAATCTGAATTAAAAATGATTTCAGATTTATCTTGAATCAGTTTTTGTATCCGCCTTGTTTTCAGATTTGATTCAAAGATCTTATTGCTTACTAAAGCCCTGACAGGCCTTGATCCAAACTATTTATCTGACCTTTTATTGACATATGCCCCCCCCCCCTGAACCCTGAGATTCTTAAGAGGCAGGTTGTTCTAAAATCTAGATAAAAAACAGAAAGCAGACAGTCTTTGCTGTCAGAGCTCCTGGACTTTGGACGACCTGTCTGGAGATCAGGGCTGCCTCTGTTCAATCTTTTTTTTAAAACTCGCTTTTTTTAAAGAATACATTTTATCTGATTTTATTTATGTTTTATTACTTCTGTTTGTTTTACTCTGTGTTTAGTGTTGTCATTCAGCAGCAGCTCACACTGAGCGGAGAGGACCAAGACACCAGCAGAGTGTTTATCTGAAGATAGTAGTTGCAGGGAAACAAATCTCATTGACATCCATTGTTCTTTTTCATCAAATACAACAATATACACCATCTCACAGTGGAATGTACAGTACATAAATAAATAAAGCTACAGTTTACCACAGCATGTCCTTAGTGTTAAAAGGTTGTTGTCTGTGATACAGCCTAATGTAAGTGAAACACTGTATAACTGTGTTATAACTGTAAAACTGCTCTTTTATATTTCAAAATTAAATATAATTTTGATATAGTCATTAAAAAAACATAACACAGTAGAAATTTGGAGAAAAGGACATTTGTGAATGAAATAATTTGCCATTTTTTGTTCTCCAATTGAAGGCCACACTTCATATTATCATATGTTAACATAGGAACATTTTGGTCATTATAAGTTAGCCAATACTGGAAGGTATCCCAAAATGTTTGAATTATACAACAACACAAAGGAGATGTTCCAATGTTCAGCCTGATATAAGTTATAAATATAAGAGCAACAGCCATGCACGTTTCAAACAACAACACGTTTCCATGGAAGCTGGTTCTGGCCTTAAGGCGACCAGGATCGATGTCCTCAGGGTATTTCACTGCTGACTCTAAACTGGAATCACTCATGCTCACACTCACCGATGGAGACTTCTTTGATGAGCTCAGCCGCGGCGTGCGCCCCCTGCACGAGGGCTCGCGTCCATGACGACAGGTCCCAGTGCGTCTCCACTCTGAAGATGTGGGACTCGATGCCCCGCCCTGTGCCCGTCCGGGTGGCAAACACCAGGTCTGACCCCTGAGCAGGAGACCCCCGAGCACTGCCAGAGTGAACCAGCCTGAGGGGAGACATGTGTGAGGGCACAGTAACATCTAGCACATGGATTATAGTCAGTGTTAAGCTCCTCTTGCTGTCCATGACACAACACTGACCCGTCTAGTTAGTGCTCTTTCTGAGGACGAGGGGGCATGCATATCATCGAGGTAAACACCAACAACCTTGTTCCTGTTTCTTTTAATTTTTGTTCATTATTTATTTTAAATCATGTTTATAGGTCAGTGAGTCTCTGTACTGTCCAGTATCTGGGATACATTGATGTGTGCTATGATTGTATATCGCAGAAGGCTAAAAGAGATTGTGTCGACCTGGAAATCATATAAAAACAGAATTACCCAAAAATAAATAGGTTTTTAACTTTCATTTGACAGTTTGTTGAATATAATGTCGACAGTACTGAACTGGAATCCTAAAACCATTTCTAATGATAGTCAGCTGATATGTGGTTGAATTTGTATTCATATAAGGGCTGCAAGATTTGGAAAAAATAACTCAATTTTGACCAATAGTGCAGTTGGGATATAATTATCAATGCTATGATGAAAGTATCATTTTAATATTATTCACAATATCAATTAATGTGAATAATTAATGTGATTTCTTTTAAAGATACTGTACCAAACAAGGTATGTTAGAAAGCCCACACCTCTCTGCATCTCAACAATACTTCATTTAGATATCTAGGATTAACTTCATATTATGCTTACTGCAATATGGCACATGTCCATATATTTTACAATGAATTATGCAGCCCTTATTGATACGTTGGAAAATTGTCATATAAAAAAAAAAAGCATTTTAACATAAATATTACTATCTGTACCATGAAGGAATGATTTGATTACAGTTTGAGGACGGTGAACTTTGGCTCTAGCTGCCCCTCACCTTGTGGCCAGCAGTGGGTGTGTGAGCAGAGGCGTGGACCAGGACTCTCTGCTCCACGGCACCGCCTGAAACAGCAGGATGTCCTTCTCCGTCAGCGCCATGACAACGGGCTTATACTGCTGCCGTCCACCTTCCAGCTGAACCTGAGGGAGAAAGTCAGGAGGAGACAGTCAGGAGGAGACAGTCAGGAGGAGACAGTCAGGAGGAGACAGTCAGGAGGAGACAGAGACAGTCAGGAGGAGACAGTCAGGAGGAGACAGAGACAGTCAGGAGGAGACAGTCAGGAGGAGACAGTCAGGAGGAGACAGAGACAGTCAGGAGGAGACAGTCAGGAGGAGAACGTCAGGAGGAGACAGTCAGGAGTAGACAGTCAGGAGGAGACAGTCAGGAGGAGACAGAGACAGTCAGGAGGAGACAGTCAGGAGGAGACAGTCAGGAGGAGACAGAGACAGTCAGGAGGAGACAGTCAGGAGGAGACAGTCAGGAAGAGACAGTCAGGAGGAGACAGTCAGGAGGAGAAAGTCAGGAGGAGACAGTCAGGAGGAGACAGTCAGGAGGAGACAGTCAGGAGGAGAAAGTCAGGAGGAGACAGTCAGGAGGAGACAGTCAGGAGGAGAAAGTCAGGAGGAGACAGTCAGGAGGAGACAGTCAGGAGGAGACAGTCAGGAGGAGACTTCAGTGCTATTGTTTTTAAATATGTTTTGGACCAGAAGGTGCCTTTATTGAGAGATACAGTGCTGGTGGTGGGAGACAAAGGGAAGCACATTGGGATGTTTGGAGAGCTGGATTCAAACCCTTGTACTAGGCAGCGGACACTGGATGTATGTTGGCCACCAGCTTTAACCACTGAGCTGTCTGTTAGCCCAATTGTGATTATTTTTTATAATATTATATTTAAAATGATCATGTTGTGATTATTTAAGAAGATCTAAACCAGACAAAGATGTTTTTTTTCTGTCTGTATTAATCTGATTTGTAGGCAGGGACATCTATAAAATGCCATAAACCTTAATTCAGAATAGTTTATATTTACACATACTGTATGTTGCCTGTAGCTGTCATACATAGGAAGCGCAGTATTTAGTAAACAGTATATTCAAAACTGTGCCTCCTGTGATTTTGACTACAATTTGAATATTGTGCAGCACTATTTAACAATGAACAGTTGAAGTGATGGAAGTTACAGTTGATGGGCATACTGATAGAGATTCCAGTGTACAGGGATATATTGGAGTAGCTCACTGTCACAGTTTGACTTTAATCATTGTTTGTAAAAATAGGGTGGTGTTGGAATGAGTCCTGGCGGAGTGAGTGCAGTGTTGGTGGAGTGGAAGTGAGAGGTGATGACATTAAAATGTATTTATGTGTTTGTTTTAGCACTGTGGTGAGTAGGTGGGCTTTACAGGAAGGAGTGCAATTCAACAGAAACTGGCTTTGGTACTTCCTGTTTGAGCCAAGTCGAGATAAGCATTCATCATGACTCTGAATGGACCCTTCATCAAAGTGAAAGGATAAAATACTCAGTCTTGTTCCTGGATGTGAAGTGAGAGCAGCCTTTTCAATGGACATGTTTACATGTAGGACTAAAGCTAATTCAAGAAAACACACACTTCCTTTGCTGCTGCTGCAGAGCAGAATGCCAGCGTATGTGTGTGAGATGACATATGTCCATTGACTTAGAGTAATGAAATAGATACTGTAGAAATCTCAACTGAAACCCTTTCCTTTTCAGAGCAACGTGTGTTTCTGCTCTTCATTTATATAACCTGAAAAATGCCCTGTATTCCCAAAGCAGTTACTGATAAAACAAGCCAGTCTCACGGCATTTCGTGTTATAGTCATGACATTTAATCTATTGATTCGTGTTCACCAACACGATTTTCCCCTTTTTTTTGTGTAACACAGAACGATTTTAAAAGCAATGTATTTCTATTGGTAGTGTGTTTCGTGCCTGCACCACATCTTTTTGTCCAGTCGGGTCTTGGAAGACCAGAAGCTGTGTGGTTTATAAAAACATGTTCTTACTCAATATCAAGCCACGATTATTGTTTTTATTTTAAATCGTATAATGTCTGACTTTTTTTGCCGTCCGCGAGGAAAAGAAATGGCTCAGAGCCTCAGAATACTGAAATCTGTATTTTTTAAATCTTTTTTTCCTTCTAATTTGTTATTCTTTTCTAAATAACACACTGTTATTTACACAACAATAACACACAATTATCCTTGTTTTTATTTATTTGTTTGATTCTATAATATCGGGCTTTTTTGCCGTTCCTCAGGAACTGAATTTCAAAATAAAGTCACCGGAAACAGACGTAGGCCTACTGTATAAGGGACATTTCGAGCATCATTGCGATACACACCCACTGAACTGATTACCCAAGATCCTCAGCTATGGTTTAACATATAAAGTATATTCAATGATTTGAATATACTTTATAGGGATCTGCAGATAAATGTTTAGTCTTCTCAAGCACCCACTATCAAATATCTCGCCTGATTGTTGGCACTTGACAATCACCTTCCCTCAATTTTACTCAGGTGTAACTAATGTCTGCTTTAAGGGTTGGACCCGTTCGAGTCCAGTTTTGGATAGTCTGCCGTGGTTTCATTCCATTTCAAAGAGCTGTCTGACGCTCGGCGTAACCTTGGCACACTGCCACTCCAACATCCAATCCCAGAGCTTGAAGATTAATCATGGGGTTTGTCAAGCAACTGGACTGTAGTCCCAAACGATAGCTGAGGATTATGGGTAGTGTAGTGTCTTCGGCCATCCTAAACTCCGAAATGTTTTTTGGATTTCATATTGCATAAACACCATATCCAAACGTTCATTGCGGCTAAAACATCCAATCACCGAACTTAAACCATAGCTGAGGATCTTGGGTAATCAGTTCAGTGGGTGTGTATCGCAATGATGCTCGAAATGTCCCTTATAGGCCTACGTCTGTTTCCGGTGACTTTATTTTGAAATTCAGTTCCTGAGGAACGGCAAAAAAGCCAGAGATTATAGAATTAAACAAATAAAAACAAGGATAATTGTGTGTTATTGTTGAGTAAATAACAGTGTGTTATTTAGAAAAGAATAAAAAATTAGAAGGAAAAAAAGATTTAAAAAATACAGATTTCAGTATTCTGAGGCTCTGAGCCATTTATTTTCCTCGCGGACGGCAAAAAAAGTCAGACATTATACGATTTAAAATAAAAACAATAATCGTGGCTTGATATTGAGTAAGAACAAGTTTTTATGAACCACACAGCTTCTGGTCTTCCAAGACCCGACCGGACAAAAAGATGTGGTGCAGACACGAAACATACTACCAATAGAAATACATTGCTTTTATAATCGTTCTGTGTGACACGAAAAAAAGGGGAAAATCGTGTTGGTGAACACGAATCAATAGATTAAATGTCGTGACTATAACACGAAATGCCGTGAGACTGGGTTGGATAAAATACTTTAGTGTGATTACTTTGACCGAATGTTCGAGGATATATGAATTACTTTGATATGTATTGAATCTTAACAATGCATGTCACAAAGCATCTATTTGAGTAGATATTAGAGAAAAAAGTAAAGGTGTGGTTTTAGTAACATCTATGTGTTGGATCTACAGTTTTTTTTATGTTCAGCATTTCAAACAGCTGTAGCACCATCATAGCACGAGAGGCTAGATGTTTAATACAGTAATCTCTGGTCAAGTGCAGACACCGGCTGCAAAGCTCATTTACCAGATATCAGCCACATTTGATCTGGCTGTGAAAGAGAACGTTATGTGTGGAATAGCATTAATAAGCAACAGATATGATCTTCTCGTGAAATGAGTCACTTTAAAGTTTCACATTTGAGTAAATATGCTTCATCGCTTTCTTGCTGAAAGGTACATTAGAAGATTAATATCACTTTCAGTTTATATGTTAGTTATAAAGCTAGTGTTAGCAGTTAGCATAGCTTAGCATTACGTCCGATGGAGGAGAAACAGCTAGCCTGGCTCTGTCCAAAGACCAGCTTTTGGACTCACTTTTCGTTAGATTTTTTTCCATTTTACCTTTGTGCAGAACCAGACAAAGTGTTTGCCCCTGCTTTATGTCTTTTAACTTAGCTTAGCATAGCTTCGTATCAGAAACCATGACCGTGTTTTTCATCTCATCATCTAATGTTCAGCGAGAAAGTCAATAAGTGGATTTCTAAATATGTTATTTCTTTAACAGGAGAACACCGAAGTCAATGCCAGCCAAAATGTGAAGCATGCTACCTGAAAGTTTAGTCATTTTGTCATTGATGGCAAAAAGAATAAAATAATGAATAGATAGAGGGACGGAGAAATATAATAGGAGTTATTAGGCAACCTCCAACCAGATTCAACGTGAAACCTAGCCCTAGTGTTGCCTGTTTCAGTTTTCAACTAACAAGATACGTACAATTCTCAGTTGGAAGCAGGACAGCATGATTATTCACTTTTAACATAGCTAATTTAGCTCTTTCACTCTATGCTAAGCTAGTCTGAGCACATGAATGTTGTGTAACACATAGAATATAATGTTTAAAATGGTTATCAGCCCTAAGCAACTGAAAATGATAACGACCTGTAAAATAGCATGCAGCTGTCATCCTGATATACCTGTTCAGCCAGCCAGCCGATGTGTTTGAGGTGGGGGTGTGTGGAGGCCGCAGACGTGGCCCCCAGGTAAGCGTTGATGTGAGCCAGGGTGTGAGGCAGCAGAGCGGCGATGTTGGTGTGGACCGCCGTGAACCAGGAGCTGGCCGAGGGTCCGTCCTTACAGCGCAGGACCACCGTGTGCTGCCCGTCTGGGGAGTGCAGCTCCAGCAGTCTGAGGGGACAACGTGTGATAATAATTTATTTTATCAGGCACTATAAGGTATACAGGTGCTCAAAGATCCTTTACAGAGAAACAAAAATAAATACAAATTGAGCTAATAAAACAACATTTAACACAAGGACTCAACTTGCTCGTATAAGCCATTTTCATGGACTGGACAAAATAAAGTAAACTTCAAACTAACTTTCATTGCCAATGTGAAACATCAAAGCAACTTTACAATGATATTTCTTACAGAATAGATTTTATTTGAAAAATAGCTTTAAATTAAATATCTAAATGTTTTATTAATTCATTTATTAATTTGACATCTCAAAAAAGGATAGGGATAGCAGGTATTCTTTTAAAGTGGACCTATCATGCTACATTTGAATAATATAGTGTAGGACCATACCTATATAAGGCATATTTATACTTTTTTTTTTTCAAAATACCAAACAGATCATGCATTTTAGCCATGCCTCATTTTGCTCAATTTGACATTTTTTAGCTCTGTTTTTGCAAGGGCAGATTCTGTGAGAACAGCACCATCTACAGGCCTGGCATATGTACTACAGTGTCTCCAGCGCTTTCGAACGGCAATGGCCGTGGCTGTCTCCTCCTGATTGGTGGAGTTGGCCCAATAGCCGTAGCGCCACTGTCCTGACGTCAGGACAGTGTTCAAATCTGGATCAGTTTTGATCAGATCCGTTGCAGCCCCTTTTTTAGAGATTTGGGTATGGAGGAAAATAGAGAGGGTTGTGTTTTCTGACACTTGGTGAGTTCCCTGGAACACCGGGGACACATATTCATGTATAAAAGACGTACAAAAGTGCATTTTGCATGATAGGTCCCCTTTAAGTTACTCAGAAATGCCATCATTTAGTACGTGAGTGGCACTTTACATATTCTTTGATTTAAGAACAGAAAGCAATAATATTGTAGGAAAAAGGTTAATTGTTTTAATTAATTTGTATGAATGTTATCACTGCTTTAGAGTGGTGCAGGAATGAGCTAATGCATTTGACCAATTCCCTTCCCCTGGTCCAAGTCAACAGTTTATCGATCATGTTTTTGGTAAGAAGCCTGAAGGTTGTATGTTAACGCAAGCTGAAGAGATTATTAGGTTTTGTTGGACGTCAGTAAATACCCCACTCATGAATGTCCAAAGCTTCTTTGTGTCTTATCAGCGGTCGTAACAAGTGACTAAATGAGACTACAAAACGTCATAACGCCAAACATAGCCACAGCTAGCATTTGCGATGCTAACTTCAAGGTCAGCCTCCAAAAATACGTCATCACTGCACCACACTATTGTTTTTCTTAACATAACAACAAACATTTTGGAAAATATTGACCGCAAAAAATTAACACACATTAACTGTATTTTCTACAGTTATGTCATTTAAAACTAACCAACAAGCATACGATGGACAAATGAACAATATGAATATCTTGGCATAATGCTGCTGGCCAATCAGTTTAATATCACCCACCTGTTGTAGGCAGTGGCGTTTTTATATGTACAAAAGTGGTGGGGCACGAAAAACTTAGATGTTTATATTATTTAGTGGGAATGCTGATACAGCATTCCCACTAAATGTTATGCTACGGACAAAAAGTTTATTATTATTATTCCGCCGACTTATTTTGGCCCTCTTCTCCTCCCACATTCAACATCGCAGAAACTCCGTTCAAACATCAAAACGTTCAGCTCGGTCGGGAATCGCAGGCTATTACTTTTCTCATTCATAACTTTCATAATTCCAGAGATACATCCCATAATACATCACATTTTTAACCATTGAAGTCAATGGAGATATTCTTCAGACTTCAACAAATCTTCATGCGACTTCAACTGCTAACTGTTCATTCATACTTTCACTCAGAAACCTCATTCCAACTTTAAAATGTTACACATCTTTCTGACATTATTCGTGTAACACAACTTTTAAATCTGATTCTTACTTTTAGAGATATTAAACATTGTTCAGACCTTGTTAAAGAGGTTTTCTTCAGATTTTAACATTAACTAGAGTGCGTGATGTCACAGCTAGAGTGTGGGAATTCTTGAAATGTGCCTTCATATTTTTTTTTTAAACTGCCATAATTCCCAAACCCTACATTCTTGAGACATAATTTTTCATGACAAACGTAGGAAAACATCTCGTAGCTTGAAAAATGACAAATAATTAACCAAAAAATAATTAAACAAAATGCCTCTTGAGGGCATGAAGTGACAAAAACGTTCAACATGTCTCCATTAAAGCCCATTGTAATTTCAGGCAGATATTTCCTCACAGCAGCAGCCGCACACCTTTAGTTAAACTGCCAAAAAGGCCACATTATTAACCCGAAAGTACACAAAAAGCACACTTCAGATACTCAAGGTCCTTGAGATGCTTCACGTTTTGAAATTTCACAGATATCTGTTATCATTCTTCCACAAAACGTTCACATGTAAGAGGTTTATCTCTCATTCAGAACAATGCAAGCCTTTGATCTCTACAGAGCTCGTTAGCTCAACTATAAACACCTGTGTAATGGAACACGATGATGTCATCACTCCAACTGACAGCAGTCAGTTCTAACTGTTCATTCACATGTAAGAGGTTCATCTCTCATTCAGAACAATGGAAACCTTTGATCTCTGCACACCTCGTTAGCTCAAATATAAACACCTGTGTCATGGAACACGATGATGTCATAACACACAGGTGTTCGTGTTTGAGCTAACGACGTGGTCACTGGAGTTTAACAGACTGTCTGAGCCTATTCTTTTCTGTCTGATGGAGACTTCATACTGACTTCAACATGTTCCACCTATTTTATACATTATTGGTGACACACAGCTGTCGTCGTTAGCTCAAATATAAACACCTGTGTCATGGAACACGATGTCGCTGTAAGTCCAATGGACACGGTCCAATCGTCCCCCAATCTTCACTTGTATATCACCGGTCCATGCCTCAACAGCTCTACGCCAAATCTGATATCTCACCATATGCCGTTTCCATGGAAACGGCATATGGAAAATCCTTCGCCATAAAACACGATGTCCCTTTAACTCCTATGAAAATGTTCAAAAAGTGCTCAAAATTCACATGTGTGCTAACAGTCCAGCCGTGAAGACATCTACGAGACAGTTTTGAGATTTCTTCAAATGCCGTTGCCATGGCAACACAATGCTCGCCATGAAACACGGTTTTCTCATAACTTCAGTGAAAATGCTTCAAATGGCCCAAAACTTCACAGGTTTGGTAACGATGCAGCCATCAACGCATCTACGCGTATTATGGGGTGTCATCAAATGCCGTTGCCATGGCGACAGACCACTCGCCATGAAGCACGATGTCGCTGTAAGTCCAATGGAAACGGTCCGATCGTCCCCCAAACTTCGCTTGTATATCAGCGGTTCAGCCCTCAACAGCTCTACGTCAATTATGGGGTTTCTTCAAATGCCGTTGCCATGGCAACACAATGCTCGCCATGAAACACGGTTTTCTCATAACTTCAGTGAAAATGTTCCAAACGGCCCAAAACTTCACAGGTTTGGTAACGATGTAGCCATCAACGCATCTAAGCATATTATGGGGTGTCATCAAATGCCGTTGCCATGGCGACAGATCATTCGCCATCAAGTTAGTTCAAAGGTTTGCAGTTCAAATATTCTGCTGCTTTTCCAAGCCTTTCTTTCTTTTGTACTCATCACACATTCAAGCCCCCAGTGTTCATGTGTCATTTCAATCTAAATTCTTCACTTTCTTCTTACACATTACATTTCAGCATAGCAGTTTAGCGTCAGCTTTTCAGCATAAAGCATTCCCACTAGTAATTTCTTCAGGAATTGCATTCTCTAGTTATATATAAGCTTCTGGTGCTTTTTTAAACACGTAAACAAATAGCTGGCTATCCATGGTTCCGATAGGATAGAGAGAGGGGGGAGGGGGTGTCGCTCTATGCAAGTCAATGGGACTCCCTGATAGTTGAACATCGACGCTAAAGGCCCCCCCACTGCGTTGATAGTATGTCAGGGATCCTGACATATAGGACGAGTTGGGAGTGAGAATGTGACGAGAATACTCATTTCCGGCAGCGAGAACCTAGCAACCACGTTACTATGAAAACGCCGACACGGGAAATACTGTTTTCATGCCGAGAGTCGATGACGATAACTTCACATGGACACTGGCCAATCTAAAACCTCTTTAGTAACATACGTAGTACATATACATTTGCTTGACAAGAACTGAAAAAATCTTCGTATTCTCCACAAAAATGTGTGTTATAGTGAACTAAAAGTCGTGATAGAGGCTTGCTTGTCAACATCCGGGTATTTATGCACTGGTGGGCCATGTTAACAATCCTGTGTCACAATATCAATCGATCCAGCAGAGCAATAGCCTATAGGCAAAACACAGAAGATCAACTAAATATATGACATAAAATGAACTTACCAAAGCTGAAGTAGATGGTCAACTTCATTCATTATCTTTCCGTTTTACTGATTGTAATCGCTATACGTTGCTCTCTCTCGTCTCCTCTTCACAACTACTATGTTCGCAGCACACGTACTTACAGCCAATCAGCTCTGAATTATGTGAGATGACGTTTGGTGGGGATGCCAGCACAGTGCCCCTATGGTGATTATTTTTTTGCCGCACACATTGAATAGAAAAAGACTGAGCATGCGCAGTGTAGTTTTTACAGCACCCATTCACTTTGACAGCAGAGAGAGGGGCTAGATCGGGGCTTGCCCCACATCGCTCAAAACGGCTCAATAGGCACACTGTGGACACTAATTAGAAGAACGCAGACTAAAACAGCAGTCTACAGAGTACAGAGGAATCAGATGATTAAACATGATCTTAAATGTATTTATTTTGCATTTTTTTTAATTATTATTTTAATTACTTTCTGCTGACACTAGGTGGGGCTGTGCCTAATGACCAGTTGCCACTGGTTGTAGAACTGGCATGGCCCTACAATATATTATTCAAATATAGCATGATAGGTCCACTTTAAGTTATCAGAGCAACAAGCTGAGCTAGCTCGGTTAGCAGCGCCGAACTGCCCTGGAGAAACACATGAAACTACTTTATTCAGTGTTTTTACCTTTAATCACCGAGTCCGTTTGCTTTGGAGATTTGATTGTGATTGGTGGTTTGCTGTGCATGCAGAGCCTGCATGTCACTCACTCAAGTACCCCTGACATGAGAGCCACGCGAGTTTTCCTTTTGTAGCAAGCAGCAAAAGAATTGTAACATGACGTGTTTGAGTTTTTTTTTTAAAAGCACACACACAAACACCCACACACACACACACACACACACACACACACACACACACACACACACACACACACACACACACACACACACACACACACACACACACACACACACACACACACACACACACACACACACACACACACACACACACACACACACACACACACACACACACACACACACACAGAGGAGGTCCCAGCGTACCTGTTCTCCAGGTCTGGCATGGTGAGGTTCCTGCTGATGAAGCACATCTTCAGGCTGATGACCTTCCTGTCTTTGGGGGGGGGGGAGCTGTGTTTGGGCGAGCCGGAGTCCTCGCTGCCGCTGTAGCTAGGCGACTGCGGGCGGACGCCATCCCACGGCAGTTCGGCCACCAGGGACGGCTTCTTGAAGAGCGGAGAGACCTCGCGGATGTACTTCACTGTGGAGCAACAGAAGATGTAAAGCTCAACATTAGGCCATTGTGCAGTGAAGGAGCAGCAGTGCCTCATACAGTTCTACCATATCTTCTTACCTGGCACCGAGTACATTTGAGGGGATTTTATCATTACAACTTGTTTTTAGAGAATACTACAATTAAAGACACCTGGCAAATACTATTTAACAGGTTATCTTTACAGTGCTCAAGACTAGCGGTAGATCCTTTTGTCTTTATTTTTGGGAAAGACACAGTTTCCACGGTTACCCTGATGCTGAACCCTACTGAATCAGTACTGCTAATGCTAACAGCAATATCACTAAAATTATATATTTGTAATCCATTGAAAGGAAACTATATAAACAGTTGAGCATTGTTTTCAAAGGAACCCTCCCTGTTTTGTATTTTGTAAATGTAATATATTTGTATTTGTTACTGTTGCTGGTATAAATCATTACATTTGCCTTTTGATACATAAAAAAATTGATTGCTTATGAGAATAATAACTTTTTCAAAACAATAAATTAGAATTCATTCTTTTTAAGACTGAGAGTGACAGTACAGCACGCTTCTAATAATCGTGCTGTACTGTAAGTTAATCACAACTTTAGTAAATGCTAGAGTATCGCTCCAAATAGAGAGAAAAGAAAAGAGCCAAAGTTTTTTAGGGACAGCTGTTAAATATCTACAGGGTTAGAGGAAATAGAGTGTTGATAGAACAATAGAAGATAGAATGGGAGGGATGAAACCCTCTTTAATGGTCACACATGCAGAGCACACAGCACACACAGTGAAATGTGTTCTCTGCTTTTAACCCATCCTAGTAAGGAGTCTAGTTCTAGGAGCAGTGGGCAGCTATTGTACAGCGCCCGGGGAGCAATGGGAGTGAGGGGGGACGGGGGATGTCCGGTGCCTTGCTCAAGGGCACCACGGCAGGGCAGGAGGTGAACTGGGACCTCTCCAAGTAGCAGTCCACACTCCATATTTAAGTCTGTTCGGGGACTTGAACCAGCGACCCTACGGCTCACAGTCCAAGCCCCCACTGACTGAGCCACTGCCGGACACCATAGTCGGACCATCTGTGGGATTCCTCCCAATAACACCCAGTCACTCAGGATATATGGTGCGGGCAGCCATAAAGCAGCCAGAAGGAAACACTGGGAAGTTTTCTGAAGAAAGTAACCATTTAATCTGCTTTAAAATACACTTTGGGGCCCAGTGAAGGCTAGACTTTTAAAACATTTTGGAGAAAGCTGTGGTTTGACTGTGGTTTGAATGTCAACAGTTGGCTAGTAAAAAAATGCATGTGGGATGGAAAATAGATTAGGCCTGTGTTTGTCAAGCAAATATTTGAATCATCCGTAATTATTCATACAGTAAGGTATTTAAATGGAAAGGACACCGGTGATCTTCTGGTCAAGAACTTGGAAAGTAAAGAGTTCTCTGCTATCTCTTAGAAGGACACAGTGGTCCCCTGTGTGAAATAAGAACTGACTTGGCTGTACAGCTATGTGCTGGCAGGTAGGCTGTTTGTGATGCATTCACTTTCCAAATGTGGTCCAGCCACCTCACTGGCACAGTCACATGCCCTCACTTACACTTGTATCCTCCCTCACACATGCCCATGTTATCTACTCCAATCCATGCCCTTATAGTATACTTATGTGCACAATAAGCAGAGGTGGAAGAAGTATGTAGATATTTGAAGAGACCATGTTCTGCTCAGTTTCAGGTTCAAAATTGTATTTTGTTCCTCTACTGTGACATCTCATGTTCAAAAAGCTCTTTCTTTTTTTCATACTGCCTGTGCTGCAGCACCTATGTTCACCCTCTGTCTGAAACCAGAGCCCAGTCTGCTCTGATTGGTTAGCTGGCCGGCTCCATTGTGATTGGTCAAACACAGTCCCACCCCTTAGCTTTTCACGTAGTTGGAGCGCTGGCCAATAGAAGCGCGAGTGTTACTGAGTGATGTCACTATATGTCATGGACGTAAACAAAGGAGTCCAATGGAGGGTTTCAGGCAGGGGGGGGGGGGGGGCTTGGCGTAAGCTGTTAAATACATGTAGTGGAGTAGAAAGAACAATATTTGCTATTAAATTGTTGTAGAGTAGAAGTATAAATTAGCATAAAATGGAAAAACTCAAAAAGTAAAGCACAAATTACTTAAGTACGTACTTGAGTTACTTGTACTTACTTACACCACTCACAATAAGTTTAAGCATGAGTATGAGAAATTAAAAAGAGAAAAACTGTGTGTGTGTGTGTGTGTGTGTGTGTCCATTGGCTCTCTCTTGTCTTTATGAAACATGAGACTCCAGAGAGGTGAGGTGATTCCTGAATGTAGACTCAGATATAAACCTTGAAGGTGTGTGTGTGAGTGTGTGCATATGTGAGCTACAGAAAGTCAAGTCTGCAGCTAAGTGCCTGTTAATGACACTAAGAGAGATAGAGTTTATGACTGAGCAGTATAAGCAGAGAGAGCTGCACACTGCATGAGTCCCTGCACGCTCGTGTGTACATTACTCTGTGTGTGAGTCAGAGTGGGGGGCGGGGCTGTTGTAATGCTGAGGCAACAAGCCACCAAACTGAAGCCTCACTCCACCGGCCCTCCTAACCACACTGCCCATATTAACAAGGTCTGGGGTTATTTCTGCAGAGTAAGTGGTTCTGAGAAAGTGAGTGATTGTGAGAGCATTCCTGAAACCCGTGTTTATGTCTGAGGGTCATATGGAAGAGGATGTCTTCGCTGCAGATCTCTACTTTCAGACTAATAATTAGATTGGTGGCAGAGATGTTCATCAGAGATATTTTCCGTCCACAGAGCAGACCCGGGCTCTCTGTGGTTCTACAGTTTATATTTTCAAATACTTAACCAATAGTATCACTGCAGTGGTTAGTGCACTCAAGTAATCTGCTAGCAGTTCAACAGTTATTAGCAAAAGTAGTTCAAATCAGTATTAGAATGTAACAAAGAACATGTACTCAAGTACTGTACTGAAGTACAATTTTAACATACTCTACTGGAGTATTTCAACGTTATGCTACTGAATACTTCTACTCCACTATATTTTAGAAGACAGTGAAGACATGATTAGCTAGTATAAAATATAAATAAACCAATAAATAAAATGTAACATTAAATATTGGGTTAAGATATCCAGCAGCAGTATATAAAGTAATTAAAAATTAGCTCCACCTTCACCGTGAACAACACATTTATGCATCAATAATCATGATCCATTAAATTAATATATATATGATTTGGAAATGGGCCATTATGCATAATAGGAGCTATTACTTTAAGGACAGTAAGATTATTTGATTACAATACTTTTGTACTGTTACTTGAGTAAGATTTTGAATGCAGGGCATTTGTAGCAGAGTATATTTGCAATTAAGTGTTTCTACTTTTACTGAACTAAAAGGTTCACATTTTCTTCCACCACTGGTTATAATCCTCCTATCAACAATAATATCAATACTTTCAAGACTATGATCACACAATGAAAAAACTGGATTGAAAAAAGTATCAAATCATAGCGAATGTTGAAGTTGTAATTAAATATTACTGACCTAAAACTTAATTGTGTACATAAAACAAGAGGGTAAAATAACTGCCTGCAGCACATATCATCACGGCGACACAATTACAGTAGTTTATTTTTAGAATTAAGTTTTGGAAATTTAGACATTGCTCTGAGGGAGATGTTAGATATACAGGAAAGAGTTGTGTCTGGACCAATGCTGACATTTTTGACAAGCGTAGTTCTTCAATATTCTCAACTGGTCAGGCCTCGGGACCCACTTTTTTCCTTTGTCAATAAATCGCGACCCGAAATTTTGAAACACTCAAATCTATTCAACAAAAAATCGCCCAGCTCCCACACCTCCATAGCTTTTTTATTCAAAGTATATTAATTATATTAATTTGCATTGCATGTCCAAATTGCACCAAATTAGGCACTGCATGTCCTTGCTTAAAGTTTCCACAGCAAAACACTCACAAAGTGTGAAGTACCTTGGATTGATCTGTGGCTACATTAACATCAGCTTGACTGATTTGAGGAACATCCATTAGGACTTGAAGCTGTATGTGCAGACGTGTTAATGTTTTGCGGGACAGGAAAGAGGATATGGGGACAATTCATTTCCCAGCACTGAGAGGGAGTTTCAGGGTGTTCTTAGAAAAGAGGAACATAACTACCTGGTTGTCGTCAATGCAGTAGGCACTGACAGGTCTGTTACATTTCAGAATTCCTGAGAACTAATCTTGTGGCTTTGAAGAATCTGATGGTTGGCAGCAGACACTCTAGGACAGTGGTTCTCAACTGGTGGGTCGCGACCCAAAAGTGGGTCGCGGACCCGTTTCGAGTGGGTCGCAGATGTGTGAGTGGAAAAAGTCAAACTTTTATTTTGAAGGCCCGATTTGGCCGTTGGCCGTTGGACTGGAAGTACCGGAGACCATACACGGTTTTGAAAACTTCTGTCACGTAGTGATCATCTTCTCAATAAAACATATTTGCTGATGTTTTTTCGAGTCTTCTGGCCAATCAGAATCAAGATTGTTGCCGGAGGTCCCCACGGAGAATAACTTTGTGGTAGAACTATTTTTATACATCCATGGGTACAACTTCAGATAACTTCAGATAAAAATGAACACATAATGAAATATGACCCCCGGTTTGATGATTGACAGGTCACAGAACAATGGGAGCTATCTACCCTTACCCACAATTGAAAGTAATTCACACAGACTCTCTCCTCTTTGCTCTTCTCTCTGTGTGGAGCAGCAAGTTCAGCTTCAGAACAAAGTGAAAAACAAACAATGGCATAAAATATTATTAAGATGTCGGGTAGTAATAGATTTATTTATTTTCTTCTCAGAGTGTACCAGAATTAGTATTTCTAAAAATCTCCTGGGGGTGCGGTTGGGTTGGGTTTTCAGCATGTGTGCCTTTTTATATAGTTCAGCTTTGATTCCATCATCTCATTAAACCTTTTTT